TGCATTCCGGCGACTCTTTAGGTAACATAATCCACTTATATTAAACAAAGTTTAATGACTTTAAAGGTTTAAATAAACACTTTATAAAGCAACAAAGTAGTAAGGAAGCCGCCCTTCAGTAGGAGTAATATTTAGAATATTAAATTGTTATTGTATAGCCGCACCAAGGATCTATTAAGTATTAACTAAGTATACCGCCCCCAATAAATGGGCCAATAACATATTATTCGCCAAGTAATTATTGATAAATATCGTATTTGTTTACGTACGAGCTGGCACAGATATTATTTTTCACTTCTAAGAATTGCATCATGTCTTATAAAATTATATATATGTATACAATAATATATAAGATACATATATAAGAAACTAGCAGAACCCGTGGCTTGGCTCGCGCTAAAATACAAAAAAATCTCTAAAAGGTAGTTTCATACAAACTTTCATCCCCAATTTTACCCCTTATAGGATGAATTTTGAAAAATACTAAAACACCTATTTATTTAATTTTATTGAAGAGCATTAATACCAAGGTTCAAGTAATTCTGATCATAAATATTTTTTTGGATTTTATTATAAAGTGTTTTCCCGTGGGAATTAGATAACCTTCCGCGGTAAAAAGTAACCTATGTCATTCTCCAGCCCTCCAACTATCTCTACACAAAAATTCACGCCAATCCGTCACTCCGTTTCGACGTGAAAGAAGGACAAATAAATAAACAAACAAACAGACAAACAAACACTATATGTATATTTCGCTTAAAATTATTTTTCTATACGTTTTACAAAATAACCAATTTTTTTTTTTGTAAATTAGAAGTAGCTGTAGGTGCATAATTTAAAAGTCAGATCTAAGTAATTTATATTGCTTGCAAAAATTTAATGTGTACGTATAGATATAGTTATTTTTCTAAATGTTGACAATAAAAAATACTCATCTAATTGTAACTAAGCCAAATCTGTACATTAAATATTTTTTGGAAAATCTTATTGAAATAGTCATTATTATCGATACAGAGGCCGAATCTATAGTTTTTAGAATTTTTGTCTGTCTGTCTGTTACCGCGTCAAGAGAAAACCACTGGACAGATTTTGATGAAATTTGGTATAGTGGTAGCTGGTTATCCGGGTCAACATATAGGATACTTTTTACCGCGGGAAAATATCTCATTTCTGAGAAAAAATACAAAAACTGCAATGTAAAAGTATATTAATATGTAAAACCTAAAAATTCGGTTTTTGGTCATCTGAACACGGGCGGAGCCGCGGGCAATGCTAGTAAGTCATAATAATTGAAAATTACATATATGTGTAATGATAGCAGTTTAATAAATATTCAGACTTTTTAATTGGACAAAGAATAACTTGTTTTTCTTACATTTTCAATAAAATATACGTTCTCTTTCATCTTTTTAAATAAATAAAATTGAAGTGTCTTGAAATTGAAATATCAAAATAACAGCTTTTTAACCCCCGAAGCAAAAAGAGGGGTGTTATAAGTTTGACGTCGATATCTGTGTCCGTCTGTCTGTGTGTGTGTCTGCTGTGGCATCGTAGCTCTTAAAGGGATGAACCGATTTCGATGCTGTTTTTTTTTTATTTGAAAGCCAGTTTCCTTGCGGTGGTTCTTAGCTACGTTTGGTTAATATCGGTCCAGCACTGTAAGAGTATCAGCTCTTTTCCAAAATGGTGTAAGGCATTTTGGCGTATGATTACTCGATTAAGTGCTTCACGCGTGCCAGTGTAATCATTAAATGACAATTTGCGTAGCCATTTTTTTTTTAATTTTTAATTTATTTACTAAATGCATATGAAATGATACACTTATAAGAAAAAAAATATTTTTAAAAATTTTGTCTGTGTGTTTGTTTGTTCCGGTAAATCCTCGAACGGCTAGTGATTTTGAAAGGACACTAGCACACAGCTGATGTTATGTAACTTAGGCTACTTTTATTAGTAAAAGGTTATTATTTCGACATTACAAACAGACACTACAATTTTATTTATCTGTATAGACTATATAGTATAGATAATATCTTGAGATCGCCATTGTATTGTTGCCTCCAGTTTTGGATAGACATATACTATACGTGTTAATATAAAAAAAATAAAAGACTAAAAGATTAAAATAAAGCAATAACGCTAAAAAATGTGTCTAAGATCGGTATCGCGATTAGTGCACGCACGTCGCACAGCGGCACAATACAAGCAAAATAAACAAACTACTTATGCTAGTTTATAGTACCTATACTAGCGTTTTATAGCTCAATAATGTATACCTATATCTTTATAAATTGTAGCCTATATGTTACTCTGATGTCTAAGCTATATTACTGTTAAGTTTCATCAAAATAGCTTCAGTTTTTGCATGAAAGAGAAACAAACATACATTCATCCTCACAATCTTTCATGTTTATAATATTAGTAGGAACATTAAAATAATATTAGAATGATGTTACATGAAAAATAATGTTATTATTATTATTTTTTTGGTATTTTATTGTTATAAATTTGTAACACAAAACTCCAACCAAGTTGTAACTTGTAGGATCAAATCGAAGAAATCAAAGAAAGCCACAAAAAAAATGGTGATAATATATCATTATCCATCAATCATATTATATAGTTTTTTAAATGACAATATGAATAATAAATAAATTGAATATAAAAAATATTTTAAAATGAACTTAATAAATTACCGTTGCTATTATATAAAGAACCATAAAAAAACTGTGAAAGTTACCTTCCCTGTAAGAATAACTCATTTATTTTTTAATTATGTTCAAACTTCTCCTCCATATAAAGTCCTTTAATCATGGAAGATTATTGAAAGGTATAAACAAAAAATAATAATAAATAATACTCGGTTTAAGCCGTAATATGCCTATAAAAGTAGTATGGCTGTATTTAAAAAAAAAATTATGCAATACTTGTTTTTTTTTTAATTACACAAATAGTAAGGAATCTATCCTAAACACAAGATTTTTTAACTAAATGATTAAGAATTATATCTCATTAGATAAATAAGTGATTATATTATATTTACAACATGTTACTATTTTTGTACGGAGTATTAAGATATTAATATTCATTCTATTATATTATTCATAAGTAAATTTTCTTATGAACCAAAATAATTTATATAATAAATTAAAAATATCATCGACATAGTTTGTGGCTTTATACTTTTTTAAATGTGAAAAATTGTTTTAAACTTTAATTTAACTTATTATTATACACTGAATTTCATTAAAAAATTATAGCTGTTGCCAGCGATTCTTAATCTATGTCTTTGGCCTGAGAAACAGGTTTAAACCACATTTTTATTTATTTTTTCATAGTTAAAAAGTATTAAAACAATTTAAATATTATACATGAATTATTCTAAATGATATACATGTATAAAAACATATCTATTGAATTACTGCAAAATACAAGATGTTTAGCAATAAATACAAGTGTAGTTTTAATAATGAACCGTATTTATATCCAATTAAATTCTAACATTTATAATTTACAAATAATATGAGCACAAAAGTATCTTTTGGACATAGGTATGAACTAAATTAATTATAATTAATTGACATTTCTGCGCAGAAATCAGACCATGTGGAGTTCACGTCAAGTAAACGAATTATAACCGCAACAAATACAAAAACCACTTATTGCAAATCAATTGCATATGAAATAAAGGTTATCAAATTTCATCGTGTAATCATTTTATTTACTTTTTACCATAACCTGTATGTAACAGCTGACTTTGGTATTATTTCAATAAAGTAAAAATACCATGCAACTTACCTCAAAGATTAGACTATACACAAATGGAACTGTGAGTTTATAAAAACAACAACGATATTGACGGAGCGTAGCGGAGCGACAAGTATCAAGAAATAATTGAATGTCTATACATTATTTGAATTTGAATTGAAAGTTAACTTGCGCGTGCGACTGAGCTAGCTAGTGCTGTGAATGACTGAAACAGATATAATGATACTGCGACTTAACCATCTTGGTCATAATTATTATATATATTTTTTAAATATTAAATATTTTACAATTTTTTTTATATAATGAACACAGTACAGCTATTTCATCCGTGGCGGAATAACCACTATATGAAGTACCGTATCAAGCAATTTTGTCATAACTAACTGTTGCCGTTTGCTGCGCGTGTTAATTTTTTGAACTCATACGTTTGAAAGCACGGTCAAAATATTTGACGTCGTTAAACCCAGAAGAAGAGAATCGATCAATCTGTCTATCACAAGATAATTGTAATGTCTAAAAAAATAATAATCCGATTCCAATATAATTATAGCATTGCTATTCTATTGACCAGATGTCGGAAGATGTATTTTTCCATGCCCATAAGGTCCTAAAATATATAAAATAGCAAGCGGTTGACGTATTGTTTTTGTTATTTGGTAATGCGTAAATGCTTACCATTAGTAGCAAGATAAAAATAGCTGAAGGCTATAGGGCAGAATTGGGAACCTACAGTATGCTCTACTTAAAAAATTGTATGTATTTCTTCAATTTCCTTGTACACCAGTTTTCTTTGCTTCAAGAGGTAAATACTAAAGCCTTTTCCACCGCACTAGGATATGGATTAATAGGTACATATTTTAAAAAATCTAGCAACTTATGATTATAGAGGTGATTTACAGTGGTTTTTATGACTTAAAAACCTCTAAAACCTCTGCAAGCTTTGCTGTAAGCTGGTTCTTAATATTATAATATTCCAAAAATTTGCTCAAGTTAATTCAATCACCTAATAAAATTATTTAAAGCAAGCATCAAAATCATGCGATTTGTGACATAACAACTTCTTATCAATAGTTGCTCCAGCCGTCAAACAAGTACGTAGTGGAGCACGTGGTTCTTTTTGATGCTGGACTATACTTTATAAAGGGCACCCACTGCACGACGAACCTAACGCGCCACACCCACTGTCCCGTCAACCCGTTTCGGTAAAAAAGAATTAATAACATAAAGCGAAAATGTCTCTTCCCAAAGAAGGTAAGTCGCTTGTTGAATTATTGTATAACCCAACTAAATTCTATTGGCATGTTTAATGTATATATTACTTATACATGTTAATACTTTTATTTTAAACGTATTACTACTACCGGCTTTCTGCAATGTGCGCTGCATCCTACATAACAAGGAAGAAGTTTTTGGCCTTGAATTTAATTATGACCGATCCTCTTTGGTTACGTGTCAATTATGTATACAATGACTATAATTTATAAAGTATTAGTAAATATTGCCAGACTTTGAACTTAGTAATAAAGCATGGTACTTATATTTTTGTTAATAAATTTTACTACACAGTAAAAAAAAACGCATATTTGCTATTATTATTTAAATAATAGATTTTGGTTTTGTATTTCGAATGCTTAGATATATTTTTATGTTAACATAATATATGATAATTAAAATAAGATTTTATTCCTTATATTTAACCTATACTTTATAGAAATAAGAAATAAATCCTTTAATAGGTACATTTTTTCATATATTTTTTTATTTTATTTTTTAAAGTTGGCGGCTACAAGCTTGGTAAACTCCTAATCGAGGGTAAAACCAAGCAAGTGTTCGATCTACCAGACGTCCCTGGAAATTGTCTCCTGTTGAATAAGGACAGAATAACAGCTGGCGATGGAGTTAAGGCGCATGATATGGAAGGCAAAGCCGCCATATCTAATCAAACAAATGCCAAGGTCTTTGAAATACTTAAAGCTGCTGGTTAGTATTTTTTTAAATATGTACATATGTATTATGAAATAAATAACACTAGCGACTCGTCGCTAGGTACATTTTGATTTTTTTGAACGGAACCCTAATTCTTTTACTGAAATAAAATGTATATATAATATTGTATTATATATATTGTGTTGTATATATATTGTTATATTCCTTATAACATCAACTACCTGCCAGTGAAAGTTCCGTCAAAATCGGCCCAGCGGTTTCGGAGATTAGCCGGAACAGACAGACAGACAAAAAATTTAAAAATTGTGTTTTTCTCATAAATACCATATATAATTCCATACGCATTTAGTAAAGAACTGTTATTTTGACATTACAAACAGACACTTTAATTTTATTTATCTGTATAGATTATTTCTTCTGGGTAAGCAGACATAACATTAGTCCTTAATCTTATTAGCGTTTTCGTATTATATAATATCAATAATCTACGCAACGTGCTGCAAATCGGTTTTTACTACCACCATTTATTTTAATCAATCAAAAAGAAATATCTTTATGGTTAATACAAACTTTCATAACTTTAAACAGAGCAGATTAGATATTACATCCTATAAATGATGAAATTCAATCTAATTTAGTTATAGTCTATAATAATAATAGGTCCTCGTCTAATGTTAGTTTATTTTTATAAGAATATATTGTGCGACCAATCACTCAAGAGTTTTGACGCAAAAAATAATAATAATATGAAAGAGTAATTACTCACACAATTTCTAATTAAAAGATTGTATTATATCTAAATGAAAAAACATTTTTTTTTGTAAAGGCAAAAGATCGCTGTTATGTTTCGTCCTTTATGATATACGTACCTACTAATAGATTCAAGATTGAAGTCTAGCAGTGTTAAGAAGTAGAATAAATAATGCGAGACTTTTGTCTCCCTCTACCTGTACACCCTTCTTTTAAATAATATAAATATAACTTGTAGTTGTTTATTATTAAGAAAAAGCTCAGATACTCCGATAACTTTCTTGACCCCTGACAAGAAAATAACATGTGATATGATTCTCTATGTAATTGTAATGTAATAATACTGAATTATTGAATCATATTACACATAAGATACCAAATCACGGTGTCAAACAGTCATTTTTAGTTGCCAACAAAAATGACCTTTGGATAAAAATTACTTTACACGCATATAATTTTTTTTTATTATAAAATTTTTACATATTTGAATATTCAATAAAATACAATATTTTTGTTAAACCACATAAACACTTGCAAATTAGAATAATAGAATTTTAGGTATGTATAAAATATAATAAATAAAAATAGTGTTTATTGATATACATGGGGTCGTCACCCCATGTATATCAATAAACACTATTTATTTATGAATTTATTATTCATTAGCCTAATCCAGGAAGTCCATAAAAACTCAGAGACGCATACCTAATATGTAATTTAACGACTAAATTTTTTGACCCAAACTGAACAGAAGCTGCGTTTAAGTCGCAGTCGCATTTGTCATAACTGTTGTCTCGTAGCAAGGAAGTGTTCATTTGAAGCGATTGATATGTATTCTTAGGGGTTTTCAAAGTAATTCTTCAGTTTATTTATAGCATTTAAAATTAAATATTAATCTATTATCTGTATTTCAGGAATTAAAACGGCATTCGTAAAGCTTGCTTCACCCACTGCCTTCATTTCTACAAAATGTGATATGGTTCCCATCGAATGGGTGACAAGGCGATTAGCGACAGGGTCTTTCTTAAAGCGTAATCCTGGAGTTCCTGAGGGATACCGCTTCACTCCACCAAAACAGGAGACCTTCTTCAAAGATGACGCCAACCACGACCCTCAATGGTCAGAAGAACAGATTATTTCAGCTAAATTCAACATTAATGGACTTCTTATTGGTAAATCGATAATTTTGCTTATTTATATTTTATAACTAGCATTGCCCGCGGCTCCGCCCGCGTTCAGATGACTAAAAATCAAATTCTTAGGTTTTACATATTAGTATACTCTTACAATGCAGTTTTTGTATTTTTTCTCAGAAATGAGACATTTTCCCGCGGTAAAAAGTATCCTATATGTTGACCCGGATAACCAGCTATCATCATATCAAATTTCATCAAAATCTGTCCAGTGGTTTTCTCGTGATGCGGTAACAGACAGACAGACAGACAAAAATTCTAAAAACTATAGATTCGGACTCTGTATCGATAAAAATGTCTATTTCAATTAGATTTTCAAAAAAATATTTAATGTACAGATTCGACTTGGTTACAATTTTATTATATGTATAGATTACGAGTTAATATATTATACACATGTAAGTAGGTACACAAATTTTAATTCTTTTTAACGAGGTTCCTATAATATTATCTTATGGCTTAAATCTTTTATTATACTGACGTAAATTTTAGTACTCTTGCTATATTAAGCGTAATTTAATTGTATTTTTTTTTCAAACCAGGTCAAGAAGAAGTTGATTACATGCGTCAGGTTACAATATTGGTATTCGAAATTTTGGAAAAGGCATGGGCTCTGCGTGACTGTGCTTTAATCGACATGAAGATAGAGTTCGGTGTTGACGCTAATGGTAATAAATTACATAAAAATATTCTTATAATTTAGAATTTTTGTTATAATATTTTTTTAATATTATTGTGATGAAAAACGGGATATTTACCATGTTTATTACTTACTTTTGAGAGTTTTTGATATTTTGGCACTGTTACAAGCGCCATGGTCATAGGTATGATGATGGTGTTGACTTTGCAGGTGGATTTTAAACTTTTTATATATTAAATTCCACTTGCAAAGTCATAAGTATAGCCGTGACGATGGGGCTTGTATATATATTATCAGTGATCATGAAAGCTTAAAGACTTATAAATATTTTTTAATATGATTTTTACAGGTAACATCCTCTTAGCCGATGTCATTGACTCTGATTCATGGAGATTATGGCCTTCTGGGGACAAAAGGCTCATGGTGGACAAGCAGGTACATAAAGCTTCGAATCTTAAATAGAATTTACATTTGAGAATAAAAAATTACTAATTTTTAAACCTTTTAGGTGTACAGGAACTTAGCTAATGTAACGGCGGCTGACCTTGATACGGTAAAACGCAACTTTGCGTGGGTCAAAGATCAATTAGATCACCTTAAGCCTAATGTCCATCACAAAGTGGTTATCTTCATGGGATCTGCCGCTGATCAGGAACATTGTCAGAAAATCGCTAAAGGTATTTTTTTTAATTTTCTAATATTTTTTAATTTTAAATAAAATGATTAATAAGAAAAATATGAAATTAATTATTTGTTTTTAAATTACAGTTAAATAGAAATAAGAACTATTTATATTAATTATTATCTATTGCCTTGTATATTTAATCAACTCAAATGACGTATATAGGTAACTAAATATTTTATATTGCGTCTTTCAGCCGCCCGTGAACTCGGCTTAGATGTTGATCTCCGGGTAACTTCCGCGCACAAGGCGACACAAGAAACTCTGCACATAATGCAACAATATGAGGACACCCACGGGGCTTTGGTTTTCATAGCAGTAGCTGGAAGGTCTAATGGCTTAGGGCCTGTTCTGTCTGGCAATACGTCTTATCCAGTAATAAACTGTCCGCCACCTTCTGATAAGCTGGTGCAGGTAAATTCGTAATTCTTAGTTTGCTTCAATTTCTGGAAACCAAAGTTATATTCTTATTATTAGTTAATATTATTAGATATAGTCCTAGTCATAATTCAGAACTCGTGATATAATTAAATTTTAGTAATATTATAAATGTGAATATTTAGATATTTGGATGTTTGTTAAGTACTCAATCACGCCACGACTGAGCGGATCTGGATGTTTGGCACGGACATAGATTTGGCGCATAGTCTGGAATGGCACATAGGCTACTTTTTATCCGGAAAATTTTTCGGTTCCCGTGGGATAGATTTGATTTTGTTTTAGGCGAATCCGAGCAAAGCGAGGGTGAGCCGCTGGTACATTATAGAAAGCACATTTCTTAAAGACGATCCCCTATTGAAGAAAAAGCTTATGAACGCTGAAGTTATCACAAATAATGAAAAAACGTTAAAAAATTACTAAATTATTAATATGAAACTGTTTCAGGATATCTGGTCATCTCTATCAGTGCCATCTGGCCTGGGTTGTGCGACTGTTATTTACCCCGACAGTGCAGCCCTCATGGCGGCACAAATTATTGGTTTACAAGACTACCTTATATGGGCACGTCTGAGAGTTAAGCAATTGGAAATGGCCGCCGCTTTGAGAGTAGCTGACAAGAAACTCCGAAACCTTAGTGTTTAAATATATTTGTTGTTTTTTTTGTTATTCGGCAACTTTATTGTTATCAATATCTTTCTTTTCAAACTTTATTGTTATCAAAGTCTATATGTGCAGTATTTTTGATGAATTTGTGGGGACAGACCTCTTTTATATTTTGTTTTAAGAATCTCGTTGTACCCAAATTATTTTGTATGTTCCGTGTGCATTCCATTTAATATTTTTAATAAAAAAATAATAAGTTTCTATTTTTTTTATTCTTAGTAATAACTTAAAAAAATTGCTTATGCGTAAAAATAAAATCTTTTATTTAAGTCTAATATTTCTATTAAACATTTTTTAATTCAATTTTCATTTTTGTTGTTTTAAAGAGTGCCACTTGAGCACAGATTACTTTGCCAATGTATAAAACAGTATTAAAAATATAGTTCTATCTAGATTCTAGAAGATGCTAAGTATCAAGATTATTTTCTGTGAAGTAACATATCAAACTTTATTAATTGAACTATATGTCTTGCAATTTATTTTTCTTACAGTTGACTCAATTGATAACGTATTTTATAAAAGGTTATCGAAATTATATATATACGAGTACATGCTTACGTATAACGATTTTATTATTTTAGTAATTTTGAATTTTCATAACATTATTTTTGTAACAGTCATGAGGCAACACTAAATATTTTATATTATCGAAAAATGTCACTGTCATCAGTCATTCAAAAAAGTCGTATTGCAGTAAGTTGTGGTGTAAAAATATCTAAAAAATCAATTTATACACATAAAATGAGTGAGAAACCAGCAGATCATGTGAATACAAATGGCTTTGAAAGTAAAACTCCATTCCTTATTGGAGTTGCTGGCGGTACAGCCAGTGGCAAGGTTAGTAATGATAACAGACATTATTTTATTGATTTTTGGATTGATTCTACTTCTATTGAGACGTTACGTAACTTTATATTGTCGAACTGTCCCTAAAAATTAAGTTTTACTCACACACACGTTTCAAATTCTTTTTACGCATATTGTTTTCCAAGAATGTGCTCTAACCTATAATGTCATTGTTACCAAATAAACTTCCGTCGCAAAAAGATATGTTTTAAGATTCTACGTTAGAAAATTGTTTATTTATTATTATGAGATAAAAGAATTTAATTTACATGTTAAGTTGTATCAAATTGTGATGATTTACATGTTAAATATTATATCAAACATTTTATATTTAATAATATAATGAAATTAAATATGTCATATTTTATAAATGGTAAAATAAACAAGATTTATGCAAAAAAAAAAAATAATCGAGAAATTTTATTTGTTAAATAAGTATTGACTAATGTCAATAATTAAGTAGCAGATTCTAAGAGCTCATTGAGGGCAGATTAAAAATGTTGGAACATTAACACGCAGCACCATCTAGTTCCATTGTAAGCTGGAGGCTTGTGTTATGGATACAAGATAGTTGATACATTATACATATATAACTTTAAATACATACATATTATAAATATAAACACCCATGACTGAAGTACAAGCATTCATGCTCATCACACAAATGAATGCCCCCAGCGGGACTCGAACCCGCGACTGCTAGCGCAGCAAGTAGGGTCACTACAAACTGAGCCAAACGTGTTGTCATAATTAAATATGAAATCAGTATTCCATTTGTTTTTTTATTACGCAATACAAAAGTGTATGTTGGAAACAAGAAAAGACAGAAATTTTATAAAAGTTTTGTTTTTTGTGTGGAGAATTCATAGATTTTTATGCTTATTAGTAGTCACAACTGTGTCAATGTCATGTCAATAAATCATCCTACATGCTCCAAATGTAATAACAAATAAAATTAATAAAAAAAAACCACAATTATACTATAACTAAAACAACAATTAATTTATACATATCACTAAAGACATCTACTCATTAAAATGGCAAACATACATACTATAAAAAATAAAAACAAAGAAATAGCAAAAAATATTGTTGTAGAATAGGACATCTTTACTCTTCTTTGTCTCTCTCTTGTTCTTTTTCATCTTGCACAAAGAAAGTGTTAATGATAATGCTCTATGTATATATTACATCAATAAATGAAGAACATTCTATAATTTATTCCCTTAATAGTCTCTTATAATGGCACATTAACCTAATGTAAATAATAGTATTTGGTATATTACTATCAAATTGACCAACCTATTAATGTTGTATAGTGGTAAAGACAAAAATGTTAATGAGATATGACTAATAATCTTGTATCTTTGTGTTAGTATTGCTTTTTAATCGAAGGTATCTTTTCAGTAGTTGTCATAGTTTTGTTTTATATTTCAAAAATTATACAATAATTTGGAAGAAATAGACAAATAGCACTTTGCTTCAGTGAACTTTTAGAGGACTTCAAAAATGTCATTATTTCTATAATATTAAAAATTCTAATATAAAATAATAAAATAATATTGAATATTACGTGGGATTTCTGGCCAAATAGCCAAATATTAGGCAAAAGTATTCGGTCGGCATATGGAAAGAAACCTTGGATCTATGAGTTTGTTTCTTGTTTGACACCAGAAAGATGTATTTATTCATATCTTTTCTCTGAATCTAGGATTGTCTAGGAGTAAACTACTGCCTGAAAATGCAGAAAATTAGTCTTTTTACATCATAATCTTCCACTTCTAAATTTTGATTATGATAATGCAAGTGCATAGACAATTGACAGTTTTTTTGTTAATTTTTGTAATTAAGAAGCTGAATAAGTACATTCAACTACTTTAATGATTATAAGAAAAGTATATTATTATTAAATAAATCAGTACTTTGGTTATACCAATAGGGAATATGCATGATTTTTTTTGTTTTTTATGCAATAGCTTACATAGTTATTAAATTGTTAAAATAATATCCAGCTCCAAAAAACTAAAATTTGGTATAAAAAATTAAAATATCATTCCATTATGGATATTTTGAATGCTCCCCATTTTGGGCACTTGGTGTGTCTTTTTTTTACTATTTAAATTATTTCACAATAATTCTGCCCTTTTAACTTCTTACTGCTTTCTTCCAAAGTGAGGGTAATCAGGTCACGGTCACTACCCTGGTCAAGTGTGAGTTGACGGAGTTCACATGTTAGAGTCTAGACATGCAGATTTATTCACAATTTTTTCTTCATCATAAAGCAAATGATAATACTATTGATAATAATTCACAAATGGAAATATGACACATGCTAGACTCTACTTTATTTCACTTCACTAACCACTAAAAGTAAGAGTGCATTATCACTGAACTCATTGCTTTTATGTATTTAAAGTTAAATATTGAACATAACAATGACATTAATTTTGCTTCACAGATTAGTTTTATTTTATATTAGTAGATTTGAGCACTTACTAGCTATTTACCATATGTTATGTTAACTGTCTGTGTTCTGAAATTTTGCTATGTGTATATTTATTACATACTAGCGACTCACCCTCGCTTCGCTCGGGTTCCTAGCTTGCTTCCCCATACAAACTCATCCCCATTTTCACCCCCTAAAGGGATAATTTCCGGGATAAAAAATATCCTATGTCCTTCCCAGGCTCTCAAACTATTTTCTTACCAAATTTCATCTAAATCGGTTTAGTAGATCTAGAGATTACCCGCTACAACGTCACAAACTCACAAACTTTACCTCATTATAATATTAGTATACATAGATAGACGACGAGTATAAGAAAAAAACATCTTATAGAAATATCACTCAATAGGTCGCGGTTCCATACCTACGTGTATGTCGTATTATGTCTAACCATTTGTCCAAATTATATGCAGTAAAAGGGAAAAGTTTTTTGTTTTAAACATTTTAGACGATAAATTTACTTATTTTGATAAGAATTCATAATTATTGATAATATGACCAACAAACATAGTCATGTTTGCATGACTATCTATCTATGTATGTCTAACTTTTATATTTAAGTCACAAGAAGTAGTTTTTTATATTAATATATAATATTTTTTATATTTATTGTAATATAAAAAACTACTTCTTGTGACTTAAATATAAAAGTTAGACATAAATTCGTTGTCTTACTATTACAAGGTTCTATGTAAATTTTTATGAAGTTTAGTAATTTTTGCATAGAACTTCGTTATTTTGTTATCGTAAAAAAAACAACATAGAACTATGTAAAATTGAATATTTTGTAGTTATAGTGCCGCTATCTAGTGGTTTGTTTTTGCAAAACTGTAGCTAATGACACATAAAACGTTGTAGCATTAATAACTAAATAAGTACTAAAATTGTAACATAGAACCTTGTAATAGTAAGCCAACGATTTATGCTGTCGCAGACTTTTTTGTAGGCATTATTAAGCTTTACAACTTTTCTCTAGAACATAATCATATATCTCTCATCGTTAAGGTAGCGTTCGTAAGAAACGACTCTCAACTCACAAACTTTACCTCTTTATAATATTAGTATACTCGTAGATAATATTTTTTTTCGATAATAGTCAACAGTATGCCAAAGAATTATGGAGAAGCTGGGTCAACAGCACAAAGAACAGACTGAAAGGCGTGTGGTCTGCATCAGTCAAGATTCTTTCTATCGCACCTTAAAGCCTTCAGAAAGATTACGAGCTGAACGTGGACAGTTCAATTTTGATCATCCTGATGCATTTGATGATAAAAAACTGCTAGCAATTCTCAAGGATATTCTTGCTGGAAAGAAAGTGGAAGTTCCTGAATATGACTACATTACAAATTCTATTAGGTACGTAAATACGAGTATTATTTTAATTCTTATGATTTTTCACAGATTTTGAGAATTATTTTTTGCACTCACATGTGATTAAGCACGATTGGAATGTTTAGAAAATGTTTACATGGCAGTTTGCTTAATCAAATTATCTTATAACAAAAAAGAACAAAGGGTTCGTAGGGATTGAAAACAGATATTAAAATTTCGCATTCGTCATAAATATTGTAAATGAAATTATTAATAAAGAATAAATATCAAAATAAATATTTTTTTCTATCAGCAATCGTTCACATACCATCTACCCGGCTGACGTGGTTCTTATTGAAGGTATCCTGGTGTTTTACTTCCCAGAAGTGAGGGAACTGTTCCACATGAAGTTATTTGTTGACACTGACTCAGATACCAGACTTGCAAGACGAGGTAAGCTATAATGACAATTGTGACAAAATATTACTAAAATTATAGTTAAGTGCAAAAAATAAATGAAATTTTAAATGTTCTATTCTAAATATTTCCCATGTCATTGAAATTATTAAAAAAAACTCTTCATTTTTTTTTACTGGGTACTAGTGTACAGGGTACTGGGTAGTGGACTGGGTACAGTTAACAAATATTAAACTTTCACTCTCTGTTACTCTGTCACGCCAGAACGGCTGAACGAATCTGAATGAAATTTGGCACAGAGATAGATTATAGTCTGGAATAACACATAGGCTTTTATCCCGGAAATATGTACGGTTCCCGTGGGATAGGTTTGTTTTTGTTTTCCTAGTCACGGATATTTCAATTAAATTCAGGATGAATTTTTAAATATTTTCATTTTTAGTTTTAAACATATTTATAACATAAAACCATTCATCAATTTGTGGATTAACGACATTTATTATCTATTCGAACAAACAAAAACAACTTCAATTAGCGCTGTCTAATTATATACGAATGAGATTTTTATTTATATGAAAAAATTACAGTACCGCGTGATATAATGGAGCGTGGGCGGGATTTGGAGCAGGTGCTCAATCAGTATATGAACTTTGTCAAACCAGCCTTCGAGGAGTTTTGTCTACCAGTGAGTTGTTATCTATTTATTCATTTGTTAAGTTAGGAGTTACATGACCCGACTTACATATTTTCCTTTTTATTAATTTTCATATTTTATTATATGTTTGTTATAAATTTAAAAAAAATTTAAAGTTCTGAAAGTCTGAAAATTACAAAATTTCTATATGCTATAATATTTTAATCTGTTTAGACGCGAATATATTTATGTATGGTTGAATGATGTCATGTCATTGTCAAAAACATATGACAAACTGAAACAAATATTTTTATTTTACAGACGAAAAAGTTCGCCGACGTCATCATACCACGCGGAGCAGATAATTATGGTAAGTTATTCAAAATATTACACTGCGATATTATCATTGTAGGTTTTATGTCGATTATTATTTATTTTAGTGTAGTATTCTAAATAAATTATGAAGTAATGATATTTTATAATTCTATAATTTCATTTCTCACATACTTTTTTTTTATTAAAAACAATTTGGTAACTCATCGTTTTTGTTAAATTTCATACTATGAATATGTAGTTTTGCTTAATTTATGTACTTTAAAAGGTGTTTATTAAATAAATTTCCAGCAAATGGTAAATATAAAACATGTTACACTTAAAACAACTTCGTGTTCCGTGTACCTGTTTTATACACACATACAATATACTACTTATTATAATTTTAATTGAAGAAGATTCTAGAATATGTTATATATTATACAAGAGAAGTGTTTTAATTCAACCTCTATACTTAATTCAAAGGTAAGTGTACTCAAAGGTCATAGCCACTGCAATAAGCGCGTCCCGACCCTCAGTTAATTCTTCTTGCAGCGGCTATACCTTATGTAGCTGCTCAAATATCGACTTTATTTATACAAAATAAAGTCCGTTTTCCCTTGTTGCAGTGGCTATTGACTTAATCGTGCATCATATATGGGATATTATGTATAAGAAGCGGGAGGTGCATTGTAACGGGCATTTGGAGGTCGAAGAAACGAATGGAAGACGAATGTCAGGCAGTTCCGAAGACACATTGAGTCGATAGCTCTATAATATACGGCAGTGGAAAAGTGACCTAATTCGAAATATGAGGTAACACTATGAGAGTATATCTGTATGTATGTGAACTAAATAATTGGACTGTAGGTATTTTTTACTTTAAAATGAATTACAAATTAGAAATTTATGTAAAGTAAATGTAAAATATGACTACTTTCCAAATTAGGTCACTTTACCACTAAATGCGTCGTGACTGGTTTCTCAGGTTTATTCAACAAATTAATCTGTTAAAATCTCAACTAATTCATGTATGTAATGGGTTTATTTTGTATAAATTAGTAAGGTGTTATAGTTTCGGTGAAATTAGTCTTCTGAATAATACTTTCATTTTACACTCTTTTTTTATAAATGTATTAACACTTTTTATTACATATTTCAATAATTCTACTTATTAAATTGATGTATATATTTCTTTTAATTGGACATTTCTACTTTCAGTACATGATAAAATATAAGTACTAAGTTTAATACAACACAAGTCTATCCTTGATTAACAACCTCATATAAATATCATTTATCACCTCCAGGTAAATTTTTAAGAAATTAATTATATTTCTAAGAACTCTATTCTTAACTGTAACGCTGGCGTGTTCGCGGTCGTTGAGGGATTAAGTATGAGAAACAAATCAATTAGTAACTTGAGGGTTACTTACATCGAATTCTTAAATATCTTTACTACGTTCTATCACAGATCACATAATACTAGTACAGATTCCTCATCCGATACAAAGGAATTGGACAGCGTTAAACCGCGCTATTCTTCGGGCTATTTTTGTTTGCTTCATCAGATAATAGATGTCGTTGATTCGCAAATGGTTAAACTGTTTTATTTTATAAATGTGAGCAAATTAACGTATGATAAATATTGTAAAAGTCATCCTGCATGCGGAAACAAAGCAGTGATGAGGACTGCCGACAGAAGTGAAAACTTAAAACTATAAACAAACAGTTGTTATTTTTGGATATTCAAATCAATTGTTTGATCTTAAATAAAAATTTGTAAATTAAAACTGTTTACATGTATCTGGTTTTGATGTCTATCGGCACTCTGAGTAGTAGCTGAGCGTTAACATGTCACGTGACCATGTCGATGACGACTTATTTGAATTTACTCCCCATCCAAACCTGCATATAGAAGTGTTTCACTTCAATAAAAAAAATCAGTGATTTTAATAATTTTTAACCGTGATAAACAATTCATAAAAAGTTAAAGCACCATCTGTGAATGCACACCACAAACCCATCATCTGATTACTGATATTTCAATAATAAGTAAAATTACGCAAATTTGATTTACAAGCGCATGATTTCGTTTCACTCTACTTAGAATATTTTTTTAAACGATAATATACCTGCTTAGGAATTTTTGTTAATTTAACACAACTTGTCAACCTCCAGGTAAATTTCTAAGAAATTAATAAATATTCTAAGAAATCTATTGTTAACTGACACGCCGGCGTGTCCGCGGTCGTGGAGGGATTAATAATAAATCGATACATGTAACGTCATCTATTGACATTTACATGAACTAATTTTTCTTTGTTCGTGATGAGACCCCATGGTACTACTATCAGTTGTTATCAAATTATGCTATTTGACGTTTGCATGTCTGAGAATTTATCTAGTTTGCAATAAAAAAAACGTTTAAACTTTCTTAGAATTTCGGTGCAAGTTTTTATTTATTAAGGTTTTAAATAAGTGACTTATATTTGGCACAGATTCGAGCATAATATTATATATTACAAGAAAGCATTAAATTGTATATAAGCATTATTATATGTATATCACTGTACAATGTGTAGATATAAAACTAATGTATTATATTATTATCTGTTATTACATAAGAGACGTACATTCTAATTAGAATAAAAATTTAATATGAATTTAGTTTTCATGATATTTATAAGTACCTGAGAAGCCAGTCACAGTAATGAAATATTGCCCCAATAACTCGGCTTTCGGCTTTAATGTAGTAAATGTAATCTCTTTATTTCCAATTTTGGGTCATCCTATTGCTAGTGTTGCCAGATGCTAATAACATTATTACTTTATAAATTCAAACAGTAAAAATCTTATACATATTTAATTATTTTAAAATAATCAGGCAAACATATATTATCCAGTTAAAATTAATTGTTTACGAATATCTTTATGTATATATTCATTTCATCTGTTTCTGATTTGTAAATGATGTATTGTATTTAAGAATGCATAACATCATTGTTAGTGTCTGTTATTATATAAGATACGATATATACATATACATTCAAAAGTGCTTGCAATAAGTCTATTTGAACAAAGTTTCATTTCATTCATTCATTTCATTTAGTTACTATATCCTACTAATACTACTAATTTCTACCAAGCCATAGCCGAAATTTACTTTGGCAACACTAGTTTGAATATACTTATCTGTATTAAATTTTTTGTATTAAATGTGTTAGTGAGTGAATGTATATTTTGGGAGATACAGTGGTGAATAGAATATCCATTATATTTCCAAAACGGTGAACTGTTGTTTTTGTTAGTACTTGCCCAGTGGTTGTTCATTTAGATCTAGTACACATGTAAAGCCCCAAATGCCAAATATGAGCGCAAATTATTTTACGATGATTAATTAATTTTAGCACAAATTTTAAAACATTAAAAAACAATACTTTAAAGTTCCTATGACAACATTTTTTTACAAAATAAAATATGATAAATATATTAGGTATGACGTATACTATTGCTTGACATTTTAAAGAATTAGATTTCAAATGGAAGTGATTGATTTGCTTCACATGTGTACTAAAAAAATATTTTTCCTGTAGATTATTAAGTTTTCTTATAATATTGTTTTCTTACTATTAATCAGGTGTTGTAGACATATAAATGAATAATTCATAAATGTAAGAAAAAAAATCGACAGGCGAGTTTATTTGTGTTACGTTGACAGATAGCCGAAGTACAGCACAATGGCTATTACAATAGGGAATATGCATGATATTTTTTGATACAATAGTTTACATTGGTATATAATTGTAAAAAATATCCAATTCCAAAAAAACTAACATTTAGTATTAAAAGAAATCATGCCGTTTACGGGTACTTTAGCCATTTCGCGCACTTGGCGTGACGTCACAGTATGATATACATAGAGAAACGACGACTCAATTTGTAAGCGACAAAATCGCTAATCTTTTTTTATGATATACTCTGATGTCATATTCAGTCTGACCAATGGCGTTGCGTTTCAACAAATTTGAACTTCCCACCTGTTTTTGCCCTTTTTTATAAATATTTTCTTAATTACAAATAAATTAAAACTATTAATACAGGCTTAATTCAAAAGTAATAAAGATGATAAAGAATTACTTCACCTTCATTTAAAAGACACGCATATTCCCTATTGCGAATGGAACATTTTTTTTTTAATATTTGTTTTTTTTATTATATAAAATTCAAATTTTAACATGTAATTGTCAGATATTAGTCGTCGTATTAGAAGTTGTTTATTTGTCGATGTCACTTTTTATTTCACACTTTATGTCTACAACCACTTAGCGTTAAGGCAACATAAACCATTATATTATATAAGGCTGATACAAAGCGTAGTGTTAGGGAAAGGTGTTCAGTATATTATATTTATACGACGTGATTCATGATAAATATGCCGATTGAAATTACAAAACGTAACCTGTTTTAGGTTTTTTTTTCATAAAATATATATATTACGAAGCATAAATGCTAGATGTGAAAAAAACATGAGATAGAAGTTCATTTTTTGATATTTATGTATTATTGAAATTGTTAATATGAAATTCTTATAATTAAAAAAATACTATGTTAGTGGCGTTTGTTCTGCATTTTGAGTAAATAATAAGATGTCAATTGAAGTCATGTAAAACTCGTAATTTTATCTCTTTTAATAACATCTCAACTTGTTGCTAGCTAAAACTCAAAAAAATAATATTTAAGGATAATTTTTACCTTATAAGTACATTTCATACTACAGGTATGTAAATACGTCAACATATTCGTATTTAAAGGTGGTTGCGCAAAAGTGGCCTAAGTCAAAAAGATATAATAAATCTTGGATTTTTTTTTATTGAATTTTATTCGTCAGGTTTCAGTCATTTGTGGCTGGCAACTTGATTTAAATTGTGTATGCATTTATATATTGTACATTTATTGTTTTTCCAGAAGAATTTTTTTGCATTTCAATACTTGTAGACTGACAAAATTTTAATTTGTATTAGTTTGGTCACAATCTTAATTGATAAACCAGGCGTGTTTAATTTTGTGTTAAAGCGTATTTTTTTGTTCATTATATCGTCCATCTAATGGACGCCTTATTTCTATAACAAATGTCATAAAAAGGCATCATACAAAATAGTTATATTTCATTGTATACTTATACGCTAATAAATTACATATTTGTACTGTTTTGTATTTTATATTATAATTTACTATAACCTTTTTCTAAAGCTTTCAAAATATGAACAGTAGTGATCTGTACAGAATAATATTCTGCATTGTCCAAATGTACCCAATCAATGTATTTAAAAATACATTTATACGATCTCCATCCGAATTCCGATAATTGTATGTGATAAAATTTAGTAAGTGTAAAAAAAAACAATAAAAACAAAAATATGTTAAAAATAAAAAATCATAAAACAAAAAAAAATAGTTAATTGTTAAGAATATCATTATAATAAGTTAAGTATAAATAAAAAGAACTACATAATTATAATAGAAATATTTTTACAAAATTGCATTGACGTGAATAATTCTTATTGTTTTATAAGCGAAATAACTTAAAATCCATGAAAGCTGAAAAATTACAAAAGACGTTAACGCCCATAAATTATACAAAATATGTTTGTTTTATATAACACAGAATCGTAATCGCTATGAATTCGAAATAAACAGATTTTATTTCCTAGTCTAGTGACTATTTTACTCTATTCAAGTTTTAAAATTCGTCGTAAATTAAAATTATGTTAAATTAACATTTTTTTTAATATAATAAGCTTCTTTTAGGCCTAATTTTTATAATGGAATTGTTGTATGAAATTATTTTAGTATTCAGTTAAATTTGTGATATATAAAAAAGTTTCAGTATGTACCTAAAATAATATACCTTAGTAACACGTATCCCTTTATTCCATGCATTTAAGCAACAATAACATGTATATCTAGTCAGATGACTTGATTCTTATAATTTCTATGGAAGACACATTTCCACCATGTTTTAGATAGAGGGGGACTTATTATCAAAAGAATATCAATTCTGTAATTAATTATTATTGTATATTATCACTAATGTAAACAAAATCTGTTTATTGATCAAAATATATATGACGTTTAAAAAGTTTATTTTTATGTATAAGTGCCCAAAACATTACCTATGCATGGTATATTAACAAAACAATTTATGTCACATATTAGCACAAACTAACAAAATGTTGTACTCCATTATCTAAATTTCATTATGTAATTTCCTAAAATGAAGCATGTATATAGTGCTTAAGCCAACGTTTATATTATAATAAAGGTGTCTGCAAATTATTCTTGTTTTACTATACACATATACCTCCTCATAAATAATAATGTTTATTTCATTTATATTGTATTCTAAAGTTTAATAAGTTACGAATTCTAATAGAAAATTGAAAATAAGATGTTTCAGCAAAATTTTACCATAAACTAAATGATGATCATATATTGCATATTCATTATATTATTATTACTGATTGTGTGCGCTAAATTCTAATTTAATAAAATATAAACGTTATCGCATTTTTCTCTTTTTTATTTCTATTACCGCGACTCGAACCCAGATGTACCGTCCCACAGGACTCTTCCATCACCGCTGTTCCACATTTCCTTCACAAGTTTTTATGAAAAGTCTTATTGCTTTCGCATTTTATGTTATGTACATATAATGTAAATAGTGTCAGTATAAGACATATTTTTGACTTAAGCCATTTTAGTTCGTTTAAAGTAAATTGTGTTATTATTTTTTCCAGTTGCTATTGACTTGATAGTCCAACACATATCGGAGTATCTTAAGAAGAGTCCCAGCGACAAAGCACAGCTGGATTACCTTACGCCCTCAGTGCCGAATAGCCCACAGCGGAGTGGTAAGAGTAAGAGTGGCCGCCCACATTAAATTCTATTAATTATTTAGAGTTTGAAGAATTGGAATTAGAGACTGGTTAGACGGTGTTAAAGCAAAACCGCTATAGTAAGAATACATCTGAGAGATGACGCAACAAATTATAGTAGGGGAGCCCAAGAAGGGATTTTGGGATTTACTCAAGCGCGGTAGATTTACATAAGGGGCGATACCTTGCATTCTATTGAGTACCTCTAGTATATTTTTTAAATATTTTGATCGGTTGCCCTAGACGCGTGACCTTGGGAAAAGGGCTTATATATGATAGAGGTAGTCAACACAGTGCAAGGTATCCCCTTCATGTCAACCTGCCGCGCTTAAGTAAATCCCAGAATTCCCTCTTGGGCTCCACTACTATTAAATTATTTTCTATTTATTAATTATAGATATTATTATGGGCGAATATTCTATTGAAAATTTATCTTCAATATAAAAAAGTTGATAAATCGTTTCAGTTTATTTTTTACAAGGATAGTGCCTATTTATTTTAAAATGTAGGCAGTAGCGACAATTGTTAATTAAGTAAATATCACCCATATATAATTTAACAGATAATAAATCTATATAAAATTTCTATTCTACGAAGCACAGAATAAGCACTTGGGGTTATATCATACCATTAATATATTATTTTTTGCACATTTCCTTGTAATATATATTAATATCTCAGAGTTCCAAATAAATAAAAAGTAGTAACTAATGTATATGATAATTGATAAGTTAGTTTCAACATCTTATAGCACTTCTCTAAAACTTTTTAAAAGTTTCAATTATTATAATTCGACAATATTTTATATTTTTTTTTACCAATAAATATTTTAAAATACATCGTACCCTCCATCCTATATTTTATATAAAATAGTGCTCATTTAAAAAAACCTCTTAAACATAGACACATACACGTCTTATAACTCTGCATTCAGTGTCTGAAGTGATTACGCGGCAATTTGCTATTGGGTGCGCAGTAGTTATTAATTCTAGCAAACCTGCAGTTATAAATTTGTGAATAGCATCACAAAAATCACTGGTATTCGAAAAGCTTAGGATGCGTATCATGAACACGCATCAAATTATAAGGGCTAATGCACACCACGTTTCTTAATCGGGCCAGCGCCAAAGACCTGCGTATCGTAAATTTACATAGTGTTTAAATAATCTGTACTGACAAACTTAAATGCAGATAATTTGCGTTCTTATCGGGTTACAAGCGTGCGTCGACAGCGCGTTAAGAAGTCGTCGTGTGTATAACCCTTAGAATATCAGGGCAGTACAGTTATAACACGTACTATTTCTAATGTATTGCCAGATCTACCATTGCTATACACAAGTTTTTATGAAAAGTCATATTGCTTTCGCATTTTATGTTATGTACACATATTCACAATAGTACCTCCGTGTGTCTCTAAATACAATAGATAAGAAATTCTCATTATAAAAGATTGTCGTCTAGTAATATACTAGTCATTAAAATTTTACGTGTTTATGGTTTTATAATTTATTATTTAATATTAATAAGTTTATAAAATGTTATGATCTTTGTTTATAATTCGTAATATATTTATATTTTCCACCAAACATCTATGATAGTTGAACTTTGTTATGAATGACAATTCATTTTACATTATTATTTATTATATTGTTTCCTTGCAACAGATTATAAATAATTATTTTTAAAATTATAATCACAATTTACTCTTGGTCAAAAAAGGTATTTTTAGGTAAATAATACAATAATGTTTATGATACTATTAAATATATTTGTAAAAATATTATTTTCAAAAAAATGCTATCCATAAAATGATAAAATATAACTAAGAATTTTAATTTATATAAATATAAGTAACATAGAGGAGTAAATTAGATTTCATATCCATTCTGAAAATCAAAATTATTGTATGTAATATTATATAAAATAACATATAAATAATTCAGAACAATCTGAACTACAATTTAAAAGTTATTATTATTAAAAATGAGAGTTTATTTACTGATCATATAGAATTGTATTTCTTTGTTTAAAATCAATTAATATCAAGGTTATTGAAACATAACATGTACATTGGCTTCTAGTTGTAGCGATTTGAACAAACATTGATTTAGATTAAAGATTATTTAATTATATATACTAAATATGGTCACTGATTTAACAAAGTTACATGATAAATATTATGATGTAAAAAGGGATATTTACCATTTTTGCCCTAATTTTTGAAGTTCCTATATTCCGGGATTATTACAAGTGCCATGGTCACGGGTATATTGATGAGTGATGACTTTGCGGGTGGATGTTAAAATTTTACATCCGCAAAGTCATAAATAAAGTAAAGCCGAAAAAACGGGAACTTTCAAAAGTAAGTGCTAGACATACAAATGTATAAGCCTTTATACATCATAATAATATTGTCAGTGACCATGAAAGTTTAAAGACTTTTACCTGAAAATGACTGAGCATCACTAGTCAGGTTATTAAATTGATTTTGAAATTTTTAAATACGTAAAATTGTACCAAAAATTTAAGTATTGCGATTCGTGGCTGTTATATTCGGTTGTTGACGTTTTTAAGTTTTGTCTCTAATTATTATTATTATAATCTATATTTGTAAAATTGTATGCTTTGTTTGCTTTATGTTTAAAATTTAGTGTTAAAATGTTTTTATAGATATTTGTGATATTGTGATTAATGTCTCACAATTTATAATTTTTTGCTTTTGATCTAGTGTTTACTAAAAGATTTCGACGAATTGAGAACCTCCTCATTTTTGAAGAAGTCGGTTGAAAAGAAGCGTTTCATATTGTATACTAATTGATGGCTATGGAAAATCTTAGAGCTGATTTTTAAGAAACTCCCTCATTATTTAGACGTCTTACTTTGAGGAAATTATTTTCATATCAATTAATATCCTTGCTCATGTTTGATGATAATTCGATAAATCTGTTAAATTCGATAAAGCTGGCGGCGATTAAAAAATATATAAACAAAATTTTCTTCATTATATAGGATCAAAGTGTCGTTCCCTTGTTATGAGAATTTTTTTAAACTCCTATTTCAGTCAATTTTTTCGTACAAACTAATTAATAGTGATTATTTAACGTATTCTATAATTTGTATCACATTAAAATATTAATAGTTAGTAATACTTATGTATACAAGTGTTTACGTCTACGCCACTCATGACGCCTACTTTTATGTACCAAAGAATAGTAATTGTAAGGAAAAATGATAAAATTGGCATTAATATTTTTGTAATTATGTTAAAATTGTATATCGTACCAATGGATAGATTTTGAGAGCAGTATAAATTTAATTTTGAAATATATGAAAATGTATCGAGAGCAATTTTTTTTATATTATTACCTATTTTTATTAAAATAAATTTATGTAATTAATTCAAAGCTATATGCTATACAGTAAGGGTTACTTTGAACAATATTTTGATGTTATTCATTATTGTTATGTTTACTGAAAAAATAAAAATCAGTAATATGTAAAACTTTGAATTATTTTTACATTTATATTATTATTTTTTAATGATAAATCCACTGATGTTAAAAGTTACCCAATCTGTATATTATAATTTGTTATTTGATTTTTTATTAGGCAGTTTACACGCGTTGAACTCGAAGGCTGCCTTGAACTATGTAGATATATACAATATTTGTTATTTACTATATGCACCGATTGTACGTACGCTCGTGTTTTTGTTTATTTTTAAGTCAACATTTCTACGCCACGTCCTTTCCGTAGTGTTTAGCTTGTTGATTAGTGGACACAAATATTGTACAAAGTTTATCATTAAAATTATTTTCTTTTACGTTTGGAACTTTTAATTTTGACCCTGAACATATTATGGTTAATTAAAAAGATCCACACAATGGATATATACCTACATACTATTTTTAAATATTTATCCTACCAAGTAGATAAGAGACGATATCTATACTATACTAATATTATAAAGAGGCAGTTTTTTGTTTGAACGCGTTAATCTCAGGAACTACTAATCGGATTTGAAAAATTAATTTTGCATTAGATAGCACGTTTATTAATGAACGCTATATATAACCGTCAAAACGTATTTAGGGACGAACCTGAGTGAAACGACGGTGAGTTGCTAGTTAATAATAAAAAACAAAGTAAAATTTGATCCGCATTTATTACGATACAAATGAAAATAATCACATTATTACAATGAAACAATTTTTTACTAAAATTCTCATGCGAGGGGCGCACAGGTTACAGGACTAGGGGCGCTCGACTCGAGGCATCATTACCGAACTAAAATGTACCTTAATGTGATAACATAAGAGCTAATTTTGCTAAATTGAGAATTAAAATTAGTTAATCCAAGACAATCTGATTCTGGACATTCGATTATGTTCTATGGTCTATTTAAATGACAAGTGGCGCCATTTTGACTCAACTTATGCGACGCACTGTACAAAAAAATAATTATTCGAATACCTACGACTATTATACCTAATAAAAAATTTACAAATCAAATATTTCATTTTTAGTTTGACAATCTGCCTCGAGCTACAACGTTACAAAAGTAATGAAACTACATAGATGAAATGAAATTGTATGCACAAAATCAACTGTTGATTGCAATTAAATGTCAAGTAAATAGTAATAAAACATTGATATTATTATTAATTCGAGTAATAAAGATAATAATTATTAAAATATTATATAAAAATGTCAAATGTCAGTCAACGGATCTGTACGTCTAAATTGTTAAAATTATTTCGATCTATTTCTCTTTGCTTACAAAAATGTTCAGCTTTAGATTATATTCTCTTTAAAACCGCTACAGAATGAATGTGTACACAATGATATAATCTGTAAATATACAATTTGTAAGTTTTAAATAAATTTCATCATACCCTTAAAATGAAGCTAAATATTCAAACTGAAATCGAGTCACTTAGATGTGAACATTTAAAAACAAATCGCAAGTTTTCAAAAGAATCATATACATAAATTTGAACATATCTGTAAACAACCTCAACATAAATACCACAGAGTAAAATATCTTAAATATGTAAACGCTAACAAAATTAACAGACGAATTAATTATCTAACTTGACGAGTAACTTACTTTTAAATAATATTTATTTTATTGTCACGTTAATTTAGTAAACAAAGCTACTACATGTCGGGTCCTATTTACTCTATGGTATAGATAGAATCATCGATCAAAAAAGTACTAGATACACAATCAGCGTCAAAAAATGTCCTCACCGAATGAGCGCTCATTTAAACATATGAGTGCGCTTTTAATTGATTTTTTTCTTTTAAACAAGACTATCTTTTCGGATTATTTCGCGGTTTTATTTTGATTTTTGGTTCCCGACGTTTCGAATACTTTACAGCAATCATGATCATGGGAGAGACTAAGGTTATAGACGTCTCAAACACATACCTGTTACAGACAGTGCCTACCCACTATGTTACAAAAATGATTTCAAAAAAACTTTTTAACAAAAGAATAAAAACCGACTTCAAACAAAAGCACTAAAAAGTAAGAAATAACTGATTGGTAGTTTTCATTTACTATACATACCTAATCAAATATTTTCGAAGTCGGTGTGCTTTGCTTTGTATGGGCTGGCACCGATTTCGAAAATATTTGATTAGGTATGTATTTTATAGGTAGGCTTTAAATACTTAGCCAAAGCACACCGACTTCGAAAATATTTGATTAGGTATGTATAGTAAATGAAAACTACCAATCAGTTATTTCTTACTTTTTAGTGCTTTTGTTTGAAGTCGGTTTTTATTTTTTTGTTAAAAAGTTTTTATTTTTCCCTTTTTAGTGTAGACAGTAGTAGCAAAGTAAGGATTCTAATCTATTAGGCTTGTCAAATCAAACAAAATAAGCCCAAACTCAAAGTATCTACTATTAGCCGTTGAAGAGTTCCACCTATCCACCTTCTGGCCTTGCCATCAGATCAGGTCAACAACACCGAACCACTGTACTATCAACGGAAATAGAAATACTTGCAAAGTTTCAAGTCAATATGACAATTAGAAGTAGGTTAAATTCATCATTAGTTGTTTTTCCAGCCTTAGGGCTGGTATTTTTTTTTGGAATTTAAATGGGACCAATCTGGAAGTATACCCTTTCAAACAAAACAAAAATTGTCTAAATCGGTTAATAAATGACGGAGTTCTGAGGTAACAAACATAAAAAAAACATACAGTCGAATTGAGAACCTCCTCCTTTTTGAAGTCGGTTGAAAACGTCGGGAACCAAAAATCAAAATAAATCCGCGAAATAATCCGAAAATATAGTTTTATTTAAAATGTCAAATATTCGCGTAAATATACTTAGAGTATTATGATTTTTTTCTGTGAAAACATCTTTCAGTATCGGTTCAATTTACATTGCTGTATATATATTTATACATATATATTTCAAATAGAATAATTACCTAAACACAATTTGATGTCAATTGTAAGAGAACTTTTGCATGGGATTGTGTCTCCAGTACTTTTTTGTTCGATGTATATAATATAGAAAATAGTTATAAATATAATATACTCGATAGCGGAAAAAACATTAACAATACATTTGGTAAAAATTAAATACAAACTTAATCCGGAAGTATAAGCCTTGTATCTACGTTGTGCTTTCACAAAGTAAAGTTACAGGGTGATTCGAAATGAACAATTCCGACTAAGAATGCACTTATCAATATAATACATGATATTTACATTGTTTTTTTTTTAATTAACACTTCAATAAATAGGAATTCGCCACGGTCGAGACGACTGCTCTATGCTCGACTGCAAATCCTGATATAAGGCGTGTGAGTGAAATATATCGTTCTATTCGATTATTTATGATCGATTTATGCCTACATTTGATTTTAACACTACGATGAGTTCTATTATTGTAATTCTGTTACAATTATTGAAGAATAACCTTTTTAATTGACACTCCACTTCCTCTCTAAAACACTATTAAGGTATTTGTTTAAGCTATGGATAGATGCGAGGCTCGGACCGTGGCTCGCGAACAAGCGTCGATATCTGCCAAAATGGCACAAACGACCTTGGCAGATACACATTATATCTACAAATCTCGCTTTGTTTCTTATTTAGCCGCAAACCTTAACATAATATTTACACAAAATTCATATGACTCGAACTTTTTGGTGATCTACTGCTATATGCCTATTAGTAATGTAACTTGTTTATACATTAGTCAAGAAAGCTTTGATTGTGTCACAGTTGTGAAGGTTTTAATACGCCGGCTTAAGTAGAAAAATAATTAGAATCAAACAATTAAATATTTTTAAAATAATCAATATTTTTGACAAAATACAATTTTACAAAAATATCGCCATTTTATTTGAGTATTACTTAATCAAATAAAAAGCTAATTATTTTTCCATTCAAGCTAACAACACAGTAATAACAATTCATATGTCGTCATATATAAAACATACGTCATAACAAACCTCAAACTAAATTCACATACATACATCAACCTGTATAACAATCATTTCCGGAGTAAAAGCTAAAAAAAATAAATAAAAAAAATCCCAATGATTGCAAATAATGAAATACAATACGAAAAAAATACCATATTGATAACTCATGAGCGTCGTGTGCACGTCGTGTCTTGAACAGTCGCATGTCGCGTCACACCGACAGTCGCAGGTCGCATGTCGCGTGTCGCGCTGTCGCCCACTCACTTCCCGCGGCCCACGCAGAGGCACAGCGCGCGGCGCGGCGGGCGGCGCGGCGCGGTGGCGGCGGGCGTGTCGGGGCGCTAGTCGGCGGGGCGCGGCGGCGGCGCGCGCGGCGGCAGCGGCGACGCCGGCACGCTCCAACTCTCGCTCGTACCCCATCTGTGGCTGTGCGGTGGAATACTTGTGTCGGGATAGGTTTGTATTGTTATTTCATAATAAGTTAAGTCTAATGAGTTCATTCTTTATTACACATAGTTGTGTGCTGTTTTAATGTGTATATTTAAAAAAAAAACTAATTTGAATATAGCAATATTCACCTATTATAAAGTAATATATGTAAAACGATAATGACATATTATAAATATCATCATATTACAAATAACTGTGAAATAATACAATTAAAATTATTAATAATTATTATAATTTACATAATATATAATTTTCAATGTAATTATTTATGTGTGTATGTGTGTTACTACTTCACGCTAAAGCGATTGGACGGATTTGGATAAAAGTATACAGACAGACGAATAAACTAGTATAACACACAAGCATACCGTTAAGCACGTCGCTATTATAAACAAATTAAATGAATGCTGATTTATTATTTTAATTATTTTAGTTATCTATATTTGTTACTCTTTCATGCAAAACCCGCTGAACGGATATTGGTGAAATTTTACAGAAATATACCAACCATCATATACCAAATTAATTACACTTAGGCTATAATTTATAAAGACATCATAATATATAACAGAACTACACGGACGGAGCCGCGATAAGACGCTAGTATATGAAGAGGACTCACCTATGCCTCGGCGCGGGCGAGCGCGCTGCAACGTGATGCCACTTGACGTACCCGCTGAGGCGGCGCTTCAGCAGGCCCGCGAGCGAGTGCAGCCAGCCTACGCGCACGCACGTTACATCCACCCACCCACCACGCGCCACCGCGCACCACCGCCCGCCGACCACTCGAGACGGGGGACCTCTTTGTTTTACTTCTCTTTTGTTTTTTGTGTGTTTCAACTCAAGTAATTTATTGGAACCCGAATGTTAAACGCTTACATTGAAAAACGTGATCTAAAATATGTCTTAAACACTGAATTGCTTTAATGTTGCCATTGAACTAGTATGTATATTAATAAAAAAAGTTGTTTTTTTGTAAACAAAGAGGTCCCCAGTGCCATACCAAATGCCTGGCTAATGTTACTGAGCTATGAGCGAAGCCGTGACGGACCGTGAACTGATGAAGGCGGAGTGCCCGCACACCGCTACACGCTACTACACTTCGGGTTTTATACGTTTTTGACCCATTCATTCAACATGTGGGGAATTCTTTAATATACTTATACATACTTATGTATATCTGTCATATAAAATAAATAAAATAATATTATAGAAATTAAACTGGCCATTTTATAATAAAATATATAATAAATATTGTACATATATGAGGAAAATAGAGATTTTTATGGTAAATAAGGAATTCTTTACATACATATATGTATGGACAGGTCAAAAACTGAGTTTGGTTATATAAATATGTATAGAGGAAGCAAAACCCAAAGCGTCCCATACATGGCGGGTGTTAGGGTCGTTTAGTGGCGAGGCATGTGACAGAGCAGGCGATGTGGGGCGTGACAGCGGCAAAGCACAGAGGTATGGTGGGTGCAAAAATATTTTTTTTTTTCATATTAACGCTAACATCGATTTTATTACAATCGAATAAAATCGATTATTTTTTCATAAATATTTGGAAATAATATATATTATACTATAAAATACTTTCAGGCTTACAATAATGTTTGTCACATGTTTGTTACATTACATATTGTCATTAAAAAAATAATATCTGACTTAAATTGATTATTTTTTTAGTGACAACCTTAAATATGAATAGTGAAATACTTTTGCACCACAAAAATACAACAATTCACATATTATAAGATACACAGTTTTGAAACAGACATTGATTGCAAGAGATCGGCAACCATTATCACCGAGGGCCAAAACTTGAAAAATATTCAATTTTACAATTCATATATACCAATCCCTTGCAATAATAAAGGACACCGCGAAACAAGAAACGTAAATGTAACCTACCTAGCATTTAATTTAAAAGCGAAATGTTAGTCAGCTTACACTTAGTGCTACTAGCCTCAATTTGACAGTTATGAAATGGTACCAACATTGTAATATACCAACATAAAATAAAAAAAAAACTCAACAATTTTACACTATTGCTGGAGGTTTTTCATTTTAATTGCTTTATTTGTACCACATTATGTAGTCTGGCGTAAGCAGAACCGCAAAGCAAGCGTAGTATTCAGTTGTCCTAACTCCTTTGTACATAAACACAATGATCGGGTACTGTGACATGGGTATGATTGAAGTATGGAGAACTGATTGTATGGTATTCTATAAATATTGACATTGTTATATGTACACTAGAATTAAGTGGAATGAAAAATTATAAGTGACTAAAAAAAATAAGTGGAGTGAATAAAAAAGTAATAAAAAAATTAAGTAAAATTTTAACTATTTGGAATTTCATATACATTTTTTTTCTACAGAAAATTTTAATAATTCGAAAGGTATCAATCATTTATGTATAATTATATACTGAAGTAAGAGTTAAGTGCATTATTGCAGAAATATAAAAAGTGAGTGAAATTGATAGGAACGCGTCTTTGAATTTGGAATATTTTTAAAATTCGAGAATTCCAACCACAGAGGAGAATAGACATAAATAGAATAATTTTCAAGTGTACATTTAATTTGTTTTTATTATCTATATGTATATAATTTATAATACAATTTAGTATACAATCATTTCCCGGCGAGGCTTAGAGTGGCAAGCGCAGCATTACACCAATTAATCCGACTATCATAGGCTGGCTGCCCTCATTACACATATACACAATCATGTAAAAGAACATAGGGAACAAATTAAAATATATAATTCATGTATGACTCTAATTCGAGCAGTGTTGCCAGGTATGCCAGTTCATTTTTATATTATCAGAACCAATATAGCGAATTATTTAATAATATTAGTTGTTTAATAAGTTCACTAAAATGATTTAAATTTATATCCAAGTAATATAATATTCTGTATGTATTTTTTAAACTTATTGTTTTCAGACCTGGTAACACCAGCAGTGACTAATAAAATCATGTATGTGTAATCTATGATATTCAACGTCTAAAAATATGTTACTACTGTTCTCTGAAGAGTTTATTGTCAATATGAAGATACTACCAAATCTAAAACCTTTATCATTTATAAAATATTAAAATTTATATACTAATCATTATAAAAATAAAAAATAAATAACTGTATATCACTGAATGTATTGTTGCGTAGTACATAAGTGTAGTTAACTAGACTAAAACATGTGCAATGCAGAATTGTCCATTTTTTTTGGGTCTAATTATAAAAATGTAAGTAAAATATAACAAAAATATAAAATAATTATAAAACTATCTCAACAAATGAAAAAAAAACTTTAAAGTTGCGCTTTTAAGAATAATTTCGTGACGTCACACGACCTGGACGACCGAAATTTATAAATTTCTGTCATTTATGGGTAGATTTCAAAAAAAAAATACTAATTTATTAGTTTTAATCTGTACTATAATTTCATTGCGTTAAATAATTAACAACATCATGAAACTTCTCCATTAAGAATACTTATTGTATTTAGTGTAATTGCAATATGAATAATTATGTTAAAATGCTCTATAGTTTACGCATTACGCAGTTCGTACTTTAGCTGTGATTCATTTACTTCTAATCAATCTGAAGTTTCGGGCTTTCAGAATTATAGCAATCGGAGCAGTGTTATATATACCTTATATAAAGTATATAAACCTACACTACAGTACGCACAACCATAGACGTACAGAGTGGATCGAGTTTCTTTGCCAGCCGTCACCTTAAAATGGCGGAAAGGAGCGACAGAGACAAAACGAATGTGCGGCCAGAACCCTTCTGTATTAATTGAAATACAATTAATGAGGATATATATTTATAAACATTTTACATTCCATTATAATTTTTTTACAATCCATTTACAAATTCAAATTGGAATAAAAGACAGGTATTGGTAGCACGTTCACTTTCTTTCTAGAGAGTGGTTCTATTTTATGAGAGAATTGCTCAGTCCATTCTCTACGTCTATGCGTACAATCGTGTAAACGATATGTATATTACATATATAGTGAGTGGTCTCACCCTGGTCGTCGTGATGGTGCTTGGGCGGCGGCACGGCGGCCAACTCGCTGCGGAACCCGTTGCGCAGCTCTGCGCGGGTCAGGCTCTGGCTTCGGCCTTCTGATAGTCTGTGTACGGTACATAAATGCTATATTTATCTAAACACACGGCAGCGGGGCAAACGGAAGCGGGTTCAAATCCCGGCTCTCATACCTCTGATATTTTCATGTGCATATCATTTTCGACATGATTGCCACTTGTCTTACGGTAAAGGAAAACATCGCAAGTTCAAGCAAGTTTCGAAAGACATGTGAAATTTGGCCAGCGTGATGGACTATGTCCTGATGCCCCTCGTATTGAAGGGAGGTCCATGCCAAGTAGTGGGACGTTAAAAGGGCTGAATATAAATATATATATATATATATATATATATATATATATATATATATATATATTCAGCCCTTTTAACGTCCGGCGGGATATACATACAGGCAAATATGGTGAAAACATGTACTCACCTATCATTACTAAGTAATAAAGGCGAGGGCGGGTGCAGTCTGTCGTGGAGCGGCGGCGGTTCTAGCTCCATACTACCGTTCACTGAAAAGATAATTTACTAAATATATTCCAAATAAAATCGAATAACATCTGGTCACAAAAAGATGATTTAAAAACAACATATATTTTAATTTATAATGAACTAGCGACTTACCCTCGACTCGCTCAGATGCGTCCTTATTTACATTTTAATTTTTTGAGCGGAACCCTCATTCTTTTTCTAAAAAAAAAATTGCCTAAGAAAGTCCTGATAACATTAGCAATCTGCCAATGAAAGTCCCGTCAAAATCAGTCTAGCCCACAGAAATCTTAATAATAAGGTAATAGAAATGCCATTGCGGTCTTTTAGTACTGGGACGCGTGTCGCCGGCTTGCAGCTACCAACACATTGACAAACAATAAATACACACTATCGCTCACACATGCATTTTGCATTGTTGCAACAAAAATTAAACTTTAAGCGATGACATTACGCAATATTTTCTAAAAACGCATAATCTCAGAACCCGTGATCCCTGTGACCAATAATAAACGTGTGCGAAAAGCACAGAATGATATCGCGCGCTCAGTTCTAGTGCAGCACAAAGCGCATAATGCTCATATCGATAATTTTCCGTTGAGTCTTGCAACAATAGGTAACTAATTTATTGAAAGTGTTTTATGTTCCATTCCTCGACGCGATTTTAGACGATTTATTTATTTTCATAAAGGGAATACAATAAAACGTTAAAAGTAAGTAAATTTTTTTATTATTATATAGTTATACACTCAACAGCTACTATATACTCAACAGCGATATATTGTTTTTAATTCTAGTTTAATTTAATGAAGAGTCTGACTGAATTTTGTTTTTATAACGTTTTTATTGACTTGCATATATATGCATAAGTGATAAAAAAATTGACTTGTATAACTACATATATGTTATTATATTCTAAATTGGGTGTATACCTTTGCAATAAATATTATTATTATTATTATTATTATACAAAAGTTATGCAAACTATTTGTTAAAATCCTATACATTTTTAACAATGACTTAAATTTTTTTATAGAATTTCTATGTTATGTTTATCAAACAACTCGCCCTTAGAATTATTTACTCAATCAAATCAAAAAAAAATTTGGTAAATGCGGAACATGTCAACGATACAAGGATATTCAACGCATACTGTTTTTGACTTACCCATATACATAACAATAATAAGCCTACCTCCTAATAATTTTCTGAATGAAAAAGTAGTTTAAAAGTACGAATTTACAGATAATCGTTGATTAATGACTTTTTATAAATTATTCAGACAGAAAGAAAACATACATAATGAGATGTAACAATTAAATATTTAACGAAAAATATTAAGCCAAACGTAATAAATTTTCGATAAAAAATAGTGGTGGCACGTCACTAATTCGCGGTCAACTTATGCGGCGTGTCCTTGGAATTTACGTACGCGACGATTATGTTCTTTACGCATGACTATTATTTCATTGCTGCTTTTAGCAGTTGTAATAGTAGACATGAACAAGCTTAAGTGGTAATGGTTATTGAATTGAAAAAAAAAAACGTTTTCCTGCGATAATCGTAGTAGTGGTGGTGAAAACATTTGATTTGGCTATATTTCTTAAAAACGACATTATTTCAAAAATTAAGTACTTATATATGAAATGTTATCCCTTTATTTGTAAAGTTACAAATTGTGGAAGAATTTCCGCAGTTGGATATGCTGCAAAACACCATGTTTACCTCTCCGTGTCTCAAATAACACTAGTTACCGCAACAAACGCTTTACACGCGCTTGTGACCTACGAGTCACATGCGCGGCGACAAGGTCACGCGTCTATGCCACTTCTATTAGCTTATTATTAAGATTTCTGTGGTCTAGCCGTTTCGGAGATAAGTCGGAACAGACAGACAAAAAAAATTTGTGTTTTTCTTATAAGTACCGTATATAATTTCATATGCATTCAATAAAAAAACTATTATTTTAACATTACAAATAGACACTTCAATTTTATTTATCTGTACGGATTTCAATGTTACCTTCATGTCCAAGCATGTGATGGTGCCGGCTGGTGCGCGGGGGCGGCTCCGGGGAGCGCCCCGTGCTGTGCTCCCGACTCAAGCTGGAAATATAAAACATATGATCTATAGTCTATACTAACATTATAAAGAGGTAAAGTTAGACATAGGATACTTTTTATCCCGGGAATCATCACTTATAATAACCATAGGTTAAAATATACCTTAAATGTAGTAATACATCAATGCAGTATTAATTTTTTTAACAGAACCCTAATTCTTTTTCTAAAATAAACATAGCGTAAGTTACTTCTTCTAACATTAGCTATGTGCCAATGAAAGTCCTATCGAAATCAGTCCAGACGTTTCGGAGATTAGTCGGAACAAACGGACAGACAGACAGACAAAAATTTTAAAAGTTGTGTTTTTCTTATAAATACCGTATATAATTTCAATTGAATTCAATTTTCTTGATAATGGCTTCAAAATATAATTTCATAAGCATTTAGAAAAAAGCTGTTATTTTGACATTACAAGCAGACTTTCAATTTAATTTATCTGTATAGATGTCAGAACGATCTATTTACTGACTTAGCTTTTTTATTACTGCATGATCGCTCGTATAATGAATTTAATTTATTATTTATTTATCGAATTTAACGCAATAGCAAGAATGCCACATTATTTCATTTACTCTACAAATAATTAATAATGACAAGTTTTTTAATAAATATATTATCACTCACCTCCGATGTCTGGGCGTCGAGTGTAGGTCCACTCTAGACTTCCTCTGCTGATTTTGGTGATAGAATCTTTGTAATACTATGGGGCTGGTGTTGCCGGAGCTCTGTTTATTACATTTATCTCGGGTTTATATATCGATAGGAACGTAAAAAACACATTGTCGGTATTTTAATAATAATTATTAATTATATATATAATTTAATTTTCGATACGCATTCGCGTCAGTCATCGTCAGCGCGTTTAAATAAAATGTGTGTGTAAAATTCATTTTGTTTTGTATTACATCAATTGTTAGATATCAAGTGTTTTAGTAAGTGAAATTAAAAAAAAAACTTTAAAAAGTACATATATTTCCATTTCCTTAGTTTACTATTAGTAATATGTAAATTAGTATTAGAAATAACTAAAAGGCTTATCTACACTAATATTATAAAGAGGTAAAGTTTGTGAGTTTGTGGGTTTATAAGTTTGTGATGTTGTAGAAGGTAATCTCTAGATCTACTGAACCGATTTAGATGAAATTTGGTAAGAAGACAGTTTGAGACCCTGGGAAGGACATAGGGTACTTTTTATCCCGGAAATCATCCCTTAAGGGGGTGAAAATGGGGATGAAAGTTTGTATGGGGAATCCAGCTAGGACCCCAGCAGGCGAACCCGAGCGAAGTGAGGGTAAGTGGCTAGATATTATTATAAGTGACGTACCGCGGGAGAAGCTCGCCAGCGGTTGTCCGCGGACACGCGGCGCGCGGGCGCGGGCGGCGGGGACGCGCATGCGTCGAGCGTCCTGGGAAAATAAACATTTATTATTGTACCAGTTCTACAAACATCACCTATTAAGTTTAAAAAAATGTAGATAGACACTTCTGTAATAGCTCTGCCTCAGTGAGCTTGTAGCTAAGATATACGGCCGCAGATCCAAGGTCGAGTCCCGGGTCGGGCATAGTTCAGTTATTGAGTATTTCTGTCAAGAACTTCTCAGTAACAGCTTGGAGTTGGGAAGGGCGGTGTTTCACCCCCATTTTTTGATGAGCACGTGTACGCGCTGCACTATAATATTTCCTGCGCAATTGGCTATTTTCAATGAAAATGGTCGGCAAAGTCGATATCGGCTACTAAGACATTGTTATTATTAATATGTAACTATAATATTGAGGCGTCAAAAATCTTTATCTCTAGCTTCTGTCAGTGACCATGTTTGCTGTCGCATTCGAAATGTTGTTAACCAAACAGCTATAATAACATTAAAAGATATCTTTATTGTACAACACTTAAAAAAATAAACAATGATTAAAAAAACGATAATAAAATAGTAAACATTAATAAGATAATATTAAAATAGGATATTCCAAAGTACCTGCGTCTGGGATAAGGCGAATGGTTAGACAAGTCGGCCTCCAAGCTGGCGGGCTGCGAACTGCTCCCGCCCGGGCTGGCCGTGCTCGCCCACCACGCTCTATGGTATAACATTAAATTAATAATAATAATAGGGAATATGCGTATTTTTTTTAAATTTTTTATACAATAGCTAACCTAGTTATATAATTATAAAAAATATATACTGATGATCGCTCTGTTATAATAATACTTTGACGTCATATTCGGTCTGACCAACTACTTTGAATTTCCCATCTATATTTAAATTTTTTAATAATCATTTTCTTAATGAAAAAGATATTACATTAAAAAATATTGATATAGGCTTCATTCAAAAGCAATCTATATTAATATTATAAAGAGGTAAAGTTTGTGAGGTTTTAGTGGGTAATCTCTGGATCTACTGAACCGATTTAAATGAAATTTGGTAAGAAGATAGTTTGCTTGGGTGCTTCCTAGGTATGAAGATATTGGTCACAATTTCATGGGTTTTTATTTTTTTGCATGGAACCCTAATTCTTATACTCCTTATAACATCAACTATCTGCCAGAGAAATTCTCGTCAAAATCGGTCCAGCCAGACAGACAGGCACAAAATTGAAAAGAAAAATGTCATAAGTACCATAATAAATACTTTCTTATGAATTTAGTAATTAGTAAAAATCCGTTATTTTGACATCACAAACAGACAATTCAATTATATTTATTTATATAGAAAATGCTAATTACCTCGCAGGCGTAGGCGTGGCGTGTTCGGGCGTCCAATATTGACTGCTGGTCACAAAGTTCCTGACAGGCTGGGGGGTGACTGGTATCTCCACTCCATTGTTGGAGTTCACCGAGTGGGTGGAGCCGGTGGAGGTTGTGGAGCCAGTGGAGCCTGTGAAGCTGGTGCTGCCCGTCGGGCCTTTGGGTTGGGAGCCCGAGATGGGTAGGGACGAGTACCAGGTACCGACTGACACTGAGTTACGCGCCGATTTCACTACAAACGGATGTTCTAGAAGCTTCACGTATTTCGGTCGCTGCCGGTAGTTTTTTGTTAGACTGGAAGAGAATTGGTTTTTTTTTAAATCAATGTAAAATTTTTGATGTCTAGGAACATTTTGTAATGTTTTAAGATTGACACTTTTTTGAAGTTATTTAAGTGTCACCATGGTTATATGTAGTATTCGAGTACCAAATGATGTATGTTTCATTTACTCATATTATAAAGTGTACATATCTTTCGCTGTCGTGAAAAAACAATTGTTATTTGCAATAGAAATGTGAAATTATAAAAATCATGTTTATATCTGTCTATAAGCAACCGATGAGCATTATTTTGTTTTTCTATACATTTTTATAGCCTTAATAGTGGTAGTAAAAATCTTAAAAAAGAATATAGAATAGAAAAATAAACCAAAAAAACTGAATAACTCACCATTGTGACACAAAAGATTTGAATTCAGGTGTAAAATCACTATCTTCAGGTAGTTGTGGTGGATCATCTGCTATTACCTGATAAATAAATCCCATATATAAACATATTACTATTAGACTTTACCAATACCATAAAACTCTTTACCTATTTTAAATAAAACTATCTTTTCGGATTATTTCGCGGATTAATTTTGATTTTTGGTTTCCAATTTTTGATTTATTTTGATTATTTGAGTTTTATTTAAAATGTCAAATATTCGCGTAACTCTTTACCTATTTTATAATAGTTACAAACAAAAAAAATAACACTATAATTTAAGAGTACTACTCTAGATATTACGTTCAATATTTAGATAAGAACAAATTGACGAAGGAACATAGTATAATGCAGTCACACACATACAAGTCAAACACATAGCTCCATTAGACTTCGACGCAGTCGGGTAAAAAGAATGGAAACCCACATACCTTGGTGAGAACTTCAAAATCATTCTGACAGTCGCGGTATGGGAAGACGCCGGTGGCGAGCTCCACCAGCGAGATGCCCAGCGACCACACGTCCGCGCGGATGTCGTAGTCCGGCCGACTCGGGTCCGGCGGGTCTATCCGCTCGGGCTGGAAGCGGTTGTATATGTTGGGACATTAACACACAACACCGTCTAGTTCCATGGTAAGCTACGAATCTTGAGCTATGGATACCAGATAGTTGATACACGACATATATATATATGCTCATCACACATATGAAAGCCCCCAGCGGGACTCGAACCCGCGACCGTTGGCACAACAAGTAGGGTCACTACAAATTGAGCCAAACGTGTCGTCAAAATATCATTTTATTATTAAATGCTTGTATATAACTAGCAAGCCTAGACGATTTACATTAACCTATTTCGTCCAGGTCCTATCTGTGAACTAAATTTCATCTAAATTCGTTCAGCCTTTTCAACATGAAGTAGTAATAAACACACAGTGGTAACAAATTTCGCATTACACATTAAAAACCGCTGGACAGAATTTGATGAAATTTGGTATGACGATAACTGATTATCCAGGTCAACATAAAGGATACTTTTTACTGCGGGCAAATATCTATCCTAAACATTAAAACGTAACTAGGGACGAACTCGAGCGGTGCAAGGGTGAATCCCTAGTCTTTATATATATAATTCTTCTGTACGTGTGTATGCCAATGAACTCCTTCTAAGCGGCTGGACCGATTTTAAATTAAAAAAAAATTATGTTTGCGTGACTCTCTGGATGGTTAAGATTTACAACTGGACCCGGTAGGTAGTGCTAGAGTCAAATTCTAATTAAATTTTTATTTTTTACAGACACATAAAGAAGATTTATTTATAAAGAGGCAGACTTTATTTGTTTGTTAGAACACGCTATGCTCAGGAACTACAAATCTGATTTGAAAAATTATTTTTGCATTAGATAGCCCATTTATTAAGGAATGCTGCAGGCTATATATCATAATGACCCTACCCAAGGGAGCGGAGCTGTAGTTATAAATGGCAACAAATCGGGCAGACTTCCATACATTATTACTAATAGCATAAATCCAAATCGATCGAAGCCGCGGGTTATGCTAGTAATAAATAAAACAACAAAATCATCACTCACCGCCATATACGCCGCGCAGCCCGCACTGCGCGTCTTGGCCTTGGAGTCGACGAGGCGGCCACTGATGCCAAAGTCGCACAGCTTCACGTTGCCGCGCTCGTCCAGCAGGATGTTGCTGGGCTTCACGTCGCGGTGGATCACGCCGTGCTTGTCCTTCAGGTACGAGAGCGCGTTCACTGTCTGCGGATACACAAACACACATAACGGGTTATCATGTTATTTTAACAATACGTAAACACACATATGTATATGAACGGTTAAACACGATTAAAAGAAATTTGCAAGCAATCAAGAATTGGTCAGTGTTTTAATAAAAACCAATATTTGTGAAAGATTTGCCATTGATGTGCATGCAATTTTTTATTTTGTTACTTGTTAAAAAAATTATAATAAAAATAAGTAGTCTCTATATTATAGAATTCCTCTGACATTAACACCTCCAGGTAAATTTCTGAGAAATCTATTGTTAACTGTAAAGCCGGCGTGTCCGCAGTCGTGGAGAGATTTTAATATATGTAGTTATAAACTATAAAATACAAACTGAATTATTATACACAAAGATTGTAGTGACTAAAGTATTCATATAAGATAATATATATTATATTATCTTATATGAATATATATATAACAACATTCTACCTACCGCCACAGTCACTTTCCCCAGAATAGCCTCAGGAATGGGAGCTCCGAGCCTTTTCAATAGCTTATCAAAGCAGGAAGCCATTAGTTCCATGCAGATCCAAACATCTGCATCTGTTACAAAACATCCCAAACATCGAACAATGTATGGACAGTCATGTGACCTGACTACCACATCTAAGTCCATGAGAATTCGTTTAGTTTCTTCTGAGTTCCCAGAACGTCGCATTTGCTGAAATAATATAATTATTAAATGAAATATACGTTTTTAATTCTCGATTGAAAAGATATATGAACAGCAACATAAACTTTAACTTGTTACCTTAACTGCTATAACAGCTCCTGAAGATTTATGAAGCATTTTAACGACATGACCACAAGTGCCACTTCCCAGCTCACCAAGTTGTTGAAGGTCATCTATATGAGATTTGTATTCCACTCCATCAACATTTAATTTGCCACTTGCCTATTTCAACAAAAAACAAATCTGCTATATTCTAAGAGTTGTCAAAATGTCATTTTTAGGATTTAGCATAAATAATTATATAAAAATTATATGATTTTAATGAAATGAAAATTTTATCTTTTACTTGCGTGCATATATCATTATATTTTAAACTAAACTATTTATAAACATACCTTGTAAACTTCTTGCATTTGATATTCAGTGTCAACAGCCTGTTTAGATCTTGGTGGAAATGCTGGTATGTCTCTTGGTGAAAACATAGGTGCTGTAAAGAAAAGAAGAAAATACAAAACAATTAGCAAAAAATAATCAATTTCGTTTATAATATTTTACAGAAATAGTACTAATATAGCAAAATATAATCTTGCAATAAAATGAAACTGAAAAGTATAAAATAACATCTTGTTGGTTATTGTAAAGTGTATGTATGCATTTATGTGATAAATGAGATAAAATGATAAATGAGAATTTAAGAGGATGACACCTTTTTATTGCCTTAAATTTCTGAGTCAATCCTAATAAACTGTAGAAATAAAATGATGCATTGTCTAAGCGGATTGAGTCAAAGTAGGAACATATGAATAATTGCTGATTTGTCATGCAGTACATTTAGGATTTAAATAGTTTTAATATACAGTAAATTAATAATTATACATCAATATGCATATTTACAAAACCAATAATAGATTGTAATGAAAGACAACAATATTATGAACCTTTCCTAACAGTAATAACATGAAAGAAATGCTATTATTGTGAATAAATTATTCAAGTTATTATCTGTATAAAAATTACTTATACATGCCTTAGATACAAAATAATACAGTTATTTTCAATATTAAACCATGCAACATTGTGGTAACTAAATACAGGATATTCCTACCTTATTTCAACCGTTATGAAGAAGGATCTTAATATCTATATAATATACAAGCATAATATTTTCATAAACAGATAGCATAACCTTCTCGTATATGGATATTAGACGAAATTATATTCAAAGCATTTGTTTTTGTACACAACAATTTCATATTCAGCATTTGCAACATAAATGTGTTTACATTAAAAATACATTGAGTTACATAAAAATATGAGCACTTACGAGGCCTAGGTCTTCTTGTGCCCCCAGACTTGGGAGCCCCAAGTCCACCTTGATTGTGGAGACCCTCTCTTCGAATACGCTCCTGCAAATCTTTAAGTCTACCTTCTATATTTGACATTATAGTAACTAAAGTTATCCTCTTATCACATTTAAACACTTATTTCTAAACATCTATAATAATTATTTACACTAAAATTAAAATCAAATAGCTGCAGTCCAAAGATTTCTTTTTTCCATCAAACTCAGTCTCATTCTAAAAATCATTCAATCTTTTATTTTCTTCGTATTAATAGTGTCATTCAGTCAAATTTTCATTCACTGTAGAGACAGAATCTAAAATAATTTTACAAATATTTTTCCGTAATCTTTTTTAATTAAATAATAAATCTAATAATTAGTCTTAAACTTTATTATTATTCACTTTTATATCTTGTTACTTGATTTATTTAGAGTTTAACAATTATTATTATCTAACATTTTTCATTTCAATGGTGTTTTTGTTGTTTATCTGTATTTTGACATTTCAATATTGTCATATTTATGAACGAAAATACCCTTCATTCAACTCAATTCTTAATTCATTTCTCGTTTTGCATTTTGCTAAAATATACAATTCCGTGTAAATTTGTCTTCAGAAACAATAACCAAATATAAAATAGTATAAAAAAAACGTTATTACAGTTTAAATCAACTGTATCATATATGCTTAATTCCGCTTGTAAGCAATGACGTGATAATAAATATGTCTTGTGTTGTTATGTGATAAAAATAATTTATTTAGTGTTAAGTAAAATGCATTCTCTCTAAGTGTTTTAACAAAGTTCAAGATGATGCAACCAACATCGGAAGGCTGTATGAATATCGCTGAATTAGCCAGCCAACTAAGAAGGGAAAAGATTTTCATAAACTCTGAAAGGCAGCTGTTGCAAAACCTTAACGAAGAGGTTGAAAAAACGGTGTTAGAACTACTTCAAGCTGCTTGGATATGTTCTCAACAGCGGCAAAATCTCACAAACTTAATTACATCAAGATGCGAAGCAGAATCAGTTGCAGCATGCCACCGAGCAAGTCTACTTGAAGGGACAACATTTATAGAAGCTCATAAAGTTTTAAAATTCAAGGTAGGATAAAAAATGTTTTTGTAATTATTTATTAAAGTTTTATAAGTATGTAGATGGTAGTAAAAGCTTACTGAATATTATTATATTATGTTCAATATCATTACATTTTAATTAAAAAGAACATATTTATGAAATTTTAAAAATTTACTCAATTTTTTTATTTATTACCTTAACAAACATATATATATATCCTTTTGAATTATTATTACAATAAAGTTCAACCTAAGTATCCACCCACTTTTTATAATATTATTTCATGTTGTTGGTAATAAAAGTACCAATTTTTTTTGCATTATTAAGACTACTAATAAAAAACAAATTTAAGTTTTTATGTGTTGATTTGTTATTCCTTCAAGCTAAAATGGCTAGATTGATCTATAAAATTGAGTATACCGATAGACTATGACTGCGAGTAATGTTTAGGCCACTGTAAGGTACCTAGAGATGTACCCAACTGGATAAGGATAAGTTGCTAGCTTATAATATTATATACAATGCAAAAAGCAAGAGAGTAATTGTAGTGTATAGTATTCACAAAAAGTGTAGTGAGAAGAATATGAATATATAGTGTTAAATACAGATATAGATAAGAGTAGTAAAAAAATATGATTTGGATATTTTTAATTAGTTTCTTAATTATTTTGGTCCATATATTATGTATATTACATATCTGATCTAATTCATCAATATCCAAACCAAGCCACTGGACTTAAAAGGGCTAAAATTTTAATACCTATTTTCTATAAGGACTATTGTTAACATGGGCGTACCCAGGTAGGCCCCCCCCCCTGGATCGTGCATGTCTACGTACCTACTGTTGTCGGTAAAGTTATGTTTGAGTCAGGTTATGAGTGTTACGAATTACTTTACAATATATTATGTGTTAAAATATAATAATACAAAACGCTAGAGCAGCAAGCGACCGGTCAGCTTCACGCTCGCCAGCCACTCGCTGCCGCGCCAACGTCTTACGAAGATTATCGAATCTAGTCTAGCGTTTGTGTACTGGCCTGCGAGCTCGTATTTGATATGTTATTGTTTTGAAAGGGCTAAAAGTAGGTGACAAAAAAAAATCAATGCCCATATCTATACATATAATAAATTGTAACTGATCGCTGTCTGTACATGGGAGATATTTGAGAAAAACTATTATTGGGGGTTTTATTAACGCGATAGAACTAAAAACAATGATTTTCAGAATTTTTGTCTGTTTGTCTGTGCAGTTGTGCGTGCTATACTCAGAAACGGCTTAACCGATTTGTATGCACTTAACGTTTAGTATTTGTTTTATTTAGATCGGTTCATAAATAAAAAAGTTATGTCAATTTAATAAAAAAACACGAAAAATTTATTGGAAAAAAAGTTGTGTATACTTATTTACGCACACAAGAAGTTATACTTCTTTGTTTTTTTAGAGCATTTAAATAAAAACTTGGTTTTTGAAGTGTTTTAAACTTGTAAGATTTGATTACAGAAAGACAATGAGACAGGTGAAACTAAATAAAAGCTTGTAATAATTTTTATATTTATCGATATAAAACACGTGTTGTGTATATAGAAATAAAAAAAAAAAAGAACTTCACATTGTAGCCTATAATGACTAATTGTAACTGTAGTCAATAATCACTAACTTCATACTGTAGTCCAAATCTGTCGCATCGCATAGCAAAATAAGTACAATTTCAATAATGCTATATATAAAATACTGTTGAGTTGTTTTGACTGAAACTTTGTTTAATTATATTGTATATAGTTTGTAAAACAACAGTTTATATGGACACAAACTCACAAATTGATAATTTCAGAAAAGACGCTGCCAATGAAGTTGAGACATCTATATAGTTGAGCATATTAAACAGCGTTTAGCTTAAACTGGGCGCGCTTCTATCGAGCGCCGGCACACCCTGGTAATCGCTAAAACTCGGCAACATTTTTTTTAAATAATTAGGGTTCGGTGCAAAAAAATAATAAAATCCATGAAATTGTGAACAAAATCCGCGTACATACCTAGGGATGCACCCAAACGAATCGAGGATAAGTCATTTTCTACCTATATGGAAATACCTATATGGTTTTAAAAAAATCTGGTTGATATTGTATGCTGTGTGCAACAGCAATAATAAAAAGTGTCTGCTAAATAAAAATGGACATTCGGTTTTTTTAGTCTTCATATAATAGTTTGTAAGGAAAAACAGGGGGGGGACAAATTTTTGTTTTGCCCCCCTTGGACCAAAAGCTGGGTACGCCCATGATTATTGACACTACATTGATACATACTTTAGGTTTATTTATAACTTACTTATTTTAGTTATATATTATAATTATTGTTGTCAGATTTAGAATCAAAATCCTTAAAAATATATTACGACAGGACAGGCTGCTCGGCTTTAATTTCATAAAAAATAATTGTGTTTTATATTACCATAGAAATTAATTTTTAAATTTTAATTGTCAGGAAGTTCAAGCATTAGGTGAACTGCTAGGATGGCTTCGAGACACTCCACACCTTATGGCATTATGCTTAATGCTTGGGGAAGATCACATGCCTCCGAGCTTACCATCATCAATAATATCCGGACTGTATGGGAGTTGCCGGTCACCAATGGATAGGACCAGACTGTTGGCTGTAATCAGAACCTTGATTAAATACCAAATGGCTCCGTCAAGTGATCCTAGAAAGTAAGTATGCTCATGGTTATATGTTATTTAATAAATACTACATCAATATCGTTTTTAGATCATTTTTTAGATTCTTTAGTAGAAAATATAAAATAAGTTATTTAATTTTTATATATTATGTTGTTTTGCTATAATGCTTTATAGACACCTTACAAATCTCTTCTAAATTCCCACTTTGAATCTTATATATAATCTCTATAATAAATAACATTAACTAGCAAGTGCTTATACAGTTGCCAGTAGCAACATAAATCCCCTCCATTATCCTAAATACCTCAATATAAAGGGAATAAAACCTTATTCAATATAAAGGAAATACGACATTATTTAAAACTAAAGCTCTCTGTTGTTTTTGTGTAAATGCCTGCAGATAATATTTGTTAATATAATTAATGTGAAAGTTTGTGAGTATGTATGGACGTTTGTTACTCTCTCACACCAGAACGGCTGTATGGATTTGGATGAAATTTGGCATGGAGATAGATTATAGTCTGGAATAACACATAGGCTACTTTTTATCCCGGAAAATATAACGGTTTCCGAGGGATAGAATTGATTTTCTTGTTCTACATGCGAACCTGAGCGAAGCGAGGGTGAGCCGCTATTATATAATATAAAAAGTGAAACTTTAAAACTTGGTATCCGTTATTTGTAATCTTACCTTATTTATGTTAATAATCTTTCCTTTAACCCAGTCGCGCTGGATGTTTGCCAGAATACAATCTCTGCCTAAGGCTAAATTGCCGACATTATGTTAAAAGCTTGACTTGGCCTTTTTTTTGCGATTATGTATTGTATATTATAGTTATCGGCGCAAGTATATTTATTAGAAGTACATATATTATTTCTCGAGAGACGCAGATTTGAATGCGCATCCTATAATTTTATCATAACTTACATCATTTCCTCTGATGTAGATAATAGGGTGGGAAGGAAGCCGATGATTTGTGCGTGTTTTACGCTACACACATTTTGAATGTACTTCTATAAATAATTGTAACAGCTTATCGATTATTTATATTAACCTCAATTAATACTTTCTTATATTTATGCGAATATTTGACATTTTAAATAAAATATATTTTTGGGAGAGACCCCCGTGGTCAAGATTGCTGTAAATAACTCAAAAATCTGCGAAAAAATAGTTATGTATAATCCGAAAAGATAGTTTTATCTAAAACTCAATTTTAGTATACGTTATTACTATGTGGGTTTTAAAAATTTTTTGCGATACACGCCCCATATGTGACGCATTGTATGATTATACCATTGTTGATTGTATGCAGAGGCGTATTTGTAATGTATTAAAAAAACAAGTTGGCATTTAAAATATTACATTGCAGTGTGTTTATGTGGGTTAATTTTACTCTCACATTGTCGCAATAAGAGGAGTTTAAAAAAAATATTCAGTAATAAATTTGCTATAAAAAAGATATTTCGGTCAAGATTTTTCTAATGTTGGTAGATATGTAAAATGAATTGATTAAAAAGAAATATTAAATACTAGCAGAACCCACCGCTTCGCTCGCGCTAAAACTACAATACAATATCTAAAAAGGTACATAGTTCCATACAAACTTTCATCCCCTATTTTACTCCCTTATAGGATGAATTTCGAAAAATGCTAAAACACGTGTTTATTTAATTTTATTGAAGAGCATTAATGCCGAGTTTCAAGTAATTCTGATCATAAATATTTTTTTGGATTGTGTTATAACGTGTTCTACCGTAGGAATTAGATAATTTCCCGCGTTAAAAAGTAGCCTATATCACTCTCCAGCCCTCCAAGTATCTACAAACAAAATATAACGGCAATCCGTCACTCCGTTTCGACGTGAAAGAATGACAAACAAACAAACACACTTTCATATTTATAATATTAGTATGGATATCTGAGTATGTTGCTGTTACAGACTTAAAATTTTTGATTTGTAAGTATCAGTTGGTAACAACTAAATATCTTACTGTTCCTTTCTATTTCAGCACGTAAAATTTAGTTTTCTTCCATTCTGTTTTATTTCAATATTAATAATTAATTATGTTGAGATGTTGATTAGTTTTGCATACAAAGAACTGTTGAAGTGAGAGTCGAAAATAAGGCGTTTGCAATTATTAAAAGTAAAAACGTCATCTGTAATTAATAATTATTAATAAAAAATAATATAAAACCTTATTTAAAAAAAAACAATTCACTCATAAATTCTTTATAATAAACGGTGAAATAAAATCAATGTAACTGTAAGATAATAGATACAATTGTGTTTAATTTCATTTGCGAACATAGCTAAGTACCTACATACAAATTTTATAAAAGCATAATGATCTTTAAAAGGATTAACAGATGACGTCAGATCTAATCAAGATATAGGAGCAGGTGGCGTTCTCAATGCACTGCATGATGTCATAATAATATGACTTGACTCTTATACTATAATAGAGTCTAGTTTATTACTTGTGCCTTTCTTTAGAGTTCGTCCAAAGGTAGCCAAGTAATAAAATTTAATATTGTATAATTCTCTTTTTAAATCGACTTCTAGAAAAAGGAGCTTATACAATATATTGCAAATATAATATATTGATACAATTTGATAAACCTATCCGAAATGGATACTAAAAATTCAGCTCAAAATTTCAATAAAAGGGGCAAATCATATTGTTTTTTTTAGATAAGGGCTGGTATTGGTTTCAACGGATTTTTTAGAATCGAAAATCTAAAATTAATAATGACATCAATAATATAAAGTTAGCCGCAATAATGTAAATTTATTAAACAACTAGCATTGCCCGCGGCTCCGCCCGCATTCAGATGACCGAATAATTCTTAGGTTTTACATATTAGTATACTCTTACATTGCAGTTTTTGTATTTTTTCTCAGTAATGGGATATTTTGACGCGGTAAAAAGTATCCTATATTTTGACCCGGTATATAACCAGCTATCACCATACCAAATTTCATCAAGATCCCTCCAGTGGTTTTTCCGTGATGCGGTAACAGACAGACAGACAGACAGATAGACAAAAAATCTAAAAACTATAGATTCGGCCTCTGTATCGATAATAATGTCTATTTTAATAAGATTTTCCAAAAAATATTTAATGTACAGATTCGGCTTAGTTACAATTTTATTATATGTATGGATTTGTTAGCTTCAGGACATTCCCATTAAAGTGTTCTGCGTCTGATCTTTTGTTGATAAAAAAATCGCACATAATTATAATTTGTTCGTACACAAAATGATACATGTATTCGAAAGCTGTCACTTTCTCTTGGGAAGTAAATTATGAAAGTAAACGTGTTGGCGTTGATAAATGTTTCGATGCACGTTTTTTGTCATTCTTAATGGATCTAGGTGTTAGTATTTATACAAATTGCAGCAGAAACACGTTCGAAATGATAACTTATCTCGGGAAATAACTAAGTACGGACTAAGAAAAAGATATGTTATGTTTTTATTTGTTTTATGATAATGAAGCTAGAATGACCGCTCGAGTTGTTCATAGTCTTGTCGTGATGCTTTGTAATAGCGATACTGAGTTATCAGTGAGAATTGAGATGCTAGACTGTATTTAGAAATTCTTATTGAATTATATTTCCTATTCTTGCATTTTATTAATCTATTTTTATAGAGAGTAGTTTTATCGCAGTGGAGTTATCTTTAATAAAATCCCTTTTAAATAAGCATAGTTTTATTTATTTCAATTTACAATTTATTAACACAACCTGACACATTTATTTTTTACCGACATCTATCAAAATTATATTCTTATATTTAAATTTTATTGCAAGACAGTATTCTCTATGACATCTATACATAAAATAAAATCTGTTAAAGCATCACAGAAAATTCACTCCAGGGATTTTGATAAAATTTGGTATGATGATAGCTGGTTATCCGGGTCAACATATAGGATACTTTTTACCGCGGGAAAATATCTCATTTTAGAGAAAAAAAACAAAAACTGCAATATAAGAGTATACTAATATGTAATACCTAAGAATTTGGTTTTTGGTAATCTGAACGCGGGCGGAGCCGCGGGCAGTACTAGTTTAATATAAAATTAGCAAAAAACATATGATGAGAGATAATATAACATGTGAAAAATAGAATAAAAGATTAACATTAATATATAAATAAAACAATTTCTCAACCCCTGTTGTAAGATACTCTTGAATAAGAATATTATCAGTTTATTTTAGGCCCTTTATTACGTCAAAAATAACACCCTGCACATAAATGCTTAAAACATATTTAATAACTACTTTACGCTTTGCATTACAATATTCACAACAAGCGGCTCATCTTAGCTTAAAACTACCGCTACTTTCGCGGAAAACAAAAACGAATCTATCCCACGGGAATCGTACATTTTCCGGGACAAAAAGTAGTCTACGTGTTATTCTGATGTATGAGCTATATTATCGTAAAGTTTCATCAAAATCTATTCAGTACTTTTTGCGTGAAACAGTAACAAACATACATCCATACTCACAAACTTTCACATTTATAATATTAGTAGGTATAGATTTTTATTTAAAAAAGTGTGTGTATGTGCAATTCACACATGGTAGAAGTGAAACTTTAGAAAAGTAATCTTCGAGAGAATGAGATGAATATAGAATATCAGAAGTAGAATAATTATAAGGTTTATTTTTCTTATAATACTTTTACCAAGTTTAAGAGTTGTTTTACATTTTATTTGACATAAATATACATTACATATTATTCAGTAAATAATTTTATTATTTTTCGCTTCCTGTGTAATGTAACTTGTCTCAAATAACAACGATTACCATGGCAACATGGCTAATATTGTATCTCATTCTCTCGCCGGCTTAATCATAAATAAAATATATAGATAATAAGTTCTTTATTTCCAAAAGGTAGTAAGTACATCCAGATATTTGCTTAACACTTACTGAATCTAATTTAGTACATACAAATATTTAAAACATAGCATCTGCAGCTGAACTAGGTATTTGTGTGTTTGTCTCTTTTTAGTGTTGCATTTCCGTTTCATCGAGTTAACAAATCACAACGATTCTAAAGAAGTTTCACTTAAAAAAATTATAAAATAATTAATTGTTTATTTCTAGACTCCTTCGTACCAGCAAATGCGCGCTATCATCCCTATATGCAGTGTTCCGAGACGGTCACTCCCCAGCGCGGCAGTTCCTCGTAGCAGCCCTACAAGCACCCGTCATGGCGGTGTTGAATGAAGATGAGTTTTTCTTGGACATAGACCCTGATAAAGCCATGGAGAGGTGAGCTGCTATGGCGTCATGGTATTTTAATGCTTAACAATTAAATGTGAACAGATTTAAAAAATACCTTTAGCGATAGAATGTTTCAATTAAATTTATAAGAGATATAATTTATTCGTTAAAAAATTTAATGTTACATTTTTTTTTAGTTAGCGGTTAAAAAAATGAATCCTCTTGCTTTTTTGAAATTGGTCAAAAAATTGTAATGACTATAATACTTCAGAGACATTTTATGTGGGTCATATATTTATATACTAACGATTCACCCTAGTTTCGGTCGGGTTCGTCCCCAAACGATTTTTTAAATTGACGTAACTTTTTTATCTATGAAATTTTGACAGATTGAAATAAAACAAATACTAAACGTTAAGTGAAGCGTACCACAACACATTAGTGAAAACCGCATCCAAATCTGTGAGCCGGTTCTAGGATTAGCGCGCATAAACTCACAGACAAACGGACGAAAATTCTAAAAATCATTGTTTTAGGTTCAATTCGGTTAAAAAGTAGAGAGAGTGATCAGCGATGTTTTATAGATTTATGTTTAAGAGAGATATTTAAAGGCATTTTATTGTTCTTCATAATATTATTTTCTACATATAAAAACTTGTATACCTTACTAGCAATAAAATACCCTTATAACGATCAAGTAAGAAAAGTATACGTCTCTTTTTGGGCTTCTAGTCACCCCTTCACTTATTTTAATTAAAATTTCTTTGTCACCTGAGCCCTTACACGTATCAAATATACATTGTAATTATTTTAGTGTCGTCTTAAATGAGAATTAATGTATAATATAATGGCTTTTTGTAATTTTACTACAGATTTTCGGCATCGGATCGTCTTAAAAAGTTCGGTCAGTTCAACAGTGCAGAGTATAATGCGAAGGTGGCTCGGTATCGCAAATGGACGGTCCAGTCTCTGTACAACCTCACCAGCAAGTTCATATACTCCCTCAAGGAAAATTGGCCCAATTTTCCTGCTACTATAGCTTGGATTGTGCAGCAGATTGTACATTTGTTAAAACAACATTCCAGGTAAAATTGATATTGTAAATGATTATATTAGATAATAAGCAAAATGGCGAATAACTACAGTGTTACCTTTAGCAGACTGGCGTTTGCTATCGGTTTTGTCCGTTTATTTATATATTTATGTAATTGCTCCGCTCCTTAGAAGCTTTATGTTTAAATAGACTAGCAGAACCCACGGCTTCGCACGCGTTCAATTTACAAAATAATTTTTTTTTAGCTTTATGTTATACAGATGTGAATAAAAATATGATTAGTCGCCATAGCCACCAGGAAGAAGACTAAGCGCGCTGTAACTTCCACAAAAAAAATATAACAAAAATTCTAGATTCAGGGAGTCTAGAAAGTCCTAGACTATAACGAAACTATTTTTTTATATCTATATCCGTTTCCCGTATCCCTCGTCTGCAGGACAACAGAGCGCGAGCTGCACGCGATCTGCACGGAGCTGGTGCTGAACAGCTTCATCTGCCCCGCGATCGTGAACCCGGAGGCGCACGGCGTGGTGGAGGTGCCCGTGTCATACATCGCGCGCTTCAACCTCATACAGGTGGCGCAGATCATACAGATGCTGTGCCTCGCCAGGTACCAGGAGGTGAGGACTTCATAGGAGTTAGCTGTGTTGTAGTATTAATATGATGAATATTTTTGTTTGCCAGTGATTTTCTCGTGATGCGTTTCCGGACAGACAGATAGATAAACAAAAATTCTAAACACTATAGATCCAGCCTCTGTATCGATAATAATGACTATATCAATAAGATTTTCCTAAAAATATTTAATGTACAGATTTGACTCAGTTACAATTTTGTTATATGTATAGATTTTATTACTCTATTAAGACAATAAAAATGTGGTTAAGATCTAAAATGTAAGGGCTAGTTAAAACATCATATCAATAGGTGAATGCCTGCCATAATCATTTGCAATAATACCTCATTTAATAAGACTTATACAAACAATATTCAATTGAAAGAGGCTGTATAGTCCGGTTACAACCGGCTCGGAATGCTGCATTGATTTTAATACTATGGTAATGGTGTTTTTATAAATAATAGTAATTATAAATATGGTGGAAAATTACCACACAGCACCATCTACTTTTATGGTAAGCTAGGAGGTTTGTGTATTGAATATCAGATAGTTGATACACTATACACAATATGTAACATTAAATTCATACATATTATTATTGGAGTACAAACATTCGTGTTCATAACACAAATGAATGCCCCCAGCGGGAATCTTACCCGCGACCGCTGGCACAGCAAGTAGGGTCACTACTCACTACAAAGTGAGCCAAACGTGTAGTCAATGTGTATGTGCGTGGTGTCAGGTGGAGCCGAAGCAGCGCGACCTGTACGCGAAGTTCGAGCGGTCGTGCGTGTGGGCGCTGGTGGAGGGCGTGGCCACGGACGCCGGCGCGCCGCCCGCCGCGCCCGCCGACGCGCCGCTGCGCACCGACGCGCCGCCTGCCTCCACCGTCGCGCTCTTCACGCCGCACGACGCGCATCTGCTCGTTGGTGTCGTTCAATCAATCATTCTTTCATTCGAATCAAATTAAAATATAATTTATTCAAGTAGACCTTTACAAGCATTTTTGAATTGTTAATTTTAGATTTTAAATTTAAATTAAATGTCAGTGTAGTCAGTCCGTGAGGAATCTACCACCGGCGAGAAACTCATTCATTATTTATTATTCAATGTCATTTATTATTTATCAAAAAGTGGAAGTTACATATAAATTTTATTAGAAAAAAATCTAACTAAATTAACATTACCATTAAAATCACGTTAAATTCAATAGATGATTGAAAAATGTTAAAAAATATATTTTTGTACACACTTGCATAAAATATACCTCAAATATATTAATGCGTGGTTGTTTACGAATACTATTTGTGTGTACAAATATTATTTGCATTTCAGATAACATTCCTCAAAAGAATCTCATCAAAGTTAAACAACAACACTCAGAATGGCGGTGAAGAAAATGGCCACAATTCTGTGCAAAATTCTGATGAATCTACTTTCACGTGAGTATTTAGTACAAAATTGTTTATATTAAAGTAAGAAAACAAAAAAAAATTAACTAAAAGTCCCCAAATATATGACAATATTCTTCTTGCCCTTTCCCGCATTACGTACGGTTCAGCACAACATGAATTTTTCATTTCCCTGTAGTTCATATCAGTCATCATCTCAGCACACACACCTTTCACACACATATTCGATGTCGACATCGATCTACCACTCCTTCTACGTCTTATGTATATATGTCACAATCATCATCGTCATTTTTAGCCCGTCCCCTACTGGACATAGACCTCATAAGGCACGCCGCTGAGCACGTTCTTCAGTTCTACGTATCCAACCACTGCCAACAACTTTGTGTATATCGTCAATATCTACATCCTACACTACATTTACCAAGCCGTGGTCTTCATTTTATAACTCGTCAACTCCATCGGTCATTGGTTTCAAATGTAATCACTCTGCTACTTTAACTTACTAATTCTTTGATGCTGATAGCTTTGGTCCTCTGTCGAATTACTACATTTCGGATACGATTTTTTTTGTCACCGTGAGAAATGTATGGCAAAACTAACTAACCTGAAACATAGGTTTTTAACCTAGTTCAGGTAAGTCCCAAATAAATTATAAAATCTCATTTACTGGTCATTATTTACCTAATTTTAATTGTATTAATTTATTATTTAAGGATATATTTATAATTATGTGAATTTTTGTATCTTTTGTTTATTATGTAACTTTGAAAAATATATGAACAATTTATTATTAATGTAATATATTTTTAAGTAAGTTGTCGTTTACGTAGCGAGTCGAGCAGCGCGCTGGAGGCGGGGGCGGGCGGAGGCGCGCGGCTGGCGGCGCTGGTGGCCGCGGGCGAGCCCAACTACCGCGCGCGCCTGCACGACCTGCTGCGCAAGATGCCTGACTTCACCGCCTTGAGGTCAGCGAATCATATAATATATACATATAATAAAATTCTAAGTCGAATCTGTACATTAAATATTTTTTGGGAAATCTTATTGCAATAGACATTATTATCGATACAGAGGCCGAATCTATAGTTTTTAGAATTTTTGTCTGTCTGTCTGTCTGTCTACTACCGCATGACAGAAAAACCACTGAAGGGAATTTGATGAAATTTGGTATGGTGATAGCTGGTTATCTGGGTCAACATATAGAATACTTCTTACCGCGGGAAAATATATCATTTCTGAGAAAAAATGCAAAAATTGTATTGTAAAAGTATACTAATAAGTAAAACCTAAGAATTTGGTATTTGGTCACCAGAACGCGGGCGGAGCCGCGAGCAATGCTAGTATATCCCAACTTTCGCATTCATAATAATAAATATTATGAATGCGAAAGTTGGGATGGATGGGTGTGTGTTATTCAATTATGCCAGAACGGTTGAACGGATCTGGATGGAATTTGGCACAGATATAGATTCTAGTCTGGAATAGCACATAGGTAACTTTTTTCCCCTAAAAAGGTACGGTTCCCGTAGGATATCCATTACTCCTATATCGTCTATATATAAATTTTGTGCTTATACAAATATTTCACGCTAACAGACCTTCGACATCCGATACCAAAGACACCGTATCAGAAAATGGCCACTCTAAGAGGAGTATCCTGAGCAAAGTGTCGAAACCACGCCTCCCGCGCGCCACTTCCTCGGAGGAGCGCGGCATCGACTCCCTGCAGCTGGAGCCCGAGGTGCTCGTCATCAAGCTATACAATGTGGAGGAGCAGGACTATGTTGGTAAGGGTTTGGAGGTTTTCATTTGCTTTTGTGGTTTTTGGTTTGTCAGTTTGTGTTAAATAAGGATTACGCGAATTTTTGACTTAAATATTTTAGCGTTTTTCTGTCGATATTTCGAGTGCTTTACAACAAACACGGTCATGGGAGAAACACAAAGACGGAATGAAAAATCGAAGACGATTTGTTTAATATTTCAAATATTTACGTAAATATAAGAAAGATTTATTTAAATTGTAAAAAAGATGAGTGAAGGCAGTATGTGATAAAAAGAATTAAAATATATTTTTTTTAATTCAAAAGGGAATTTTATTTAGCGTATATGCAATTTGTTTGCATGAAAATAAATAATTGTTACTCTTTCTCTTCACAAACAATGAATGATATAAGTGATAAAGTAATGTAAACTGTTTTATCAGGCCTGGTACCGGAATCGAAAGTACTAGAAAGTTATTACGGCGGCGGTGAGGGCGAGGCGGAGGAGGGCAGCGCGCTCGCGCCGCCCGGCGCCGCGCCGCCCGTGCAGAAACGGACTAGGTAAGCTCGTTACGGTTAGCTTTTTCAAACTCACTAATATTCTATTTACATTTATGATGTTTCATTCTAGAATTTATCTATACTAATATTATAAAGAGAAAAAAAAAGGTTTTTTTTTTGTATATTTGTTTGTAATGAATAAACTAAAAACTACTGGAAAATTCTTTTGTCTATGAAAAGCTACTTTATCAGTGAGTAACATGGGAAATATTTTACTTTAAAAAAACTGAGTGATCTCTACGGAAATAGCAATAATGTAACCTAAGGTATCAAAAATTTGCCTGTAATAATCATTATTTGGCGCGTGGGGCGCTAGTAAAACGATAAAGTTCTGCATAAATAGTTTTGGAGAGATGTTTCACTAGCATGGTGGATTATTCGCTACTCCGTAAACCATATTTTTGTATTAATCTATCGCGTCACTGCCAAAAATAATATTGTAACATTATTGAGATAATTTTAAATGTGAAATAGAAATATTTTTTTTACAATTTAAAACTCGAATTTAAAATCAGCCACACTGATTATATTAACTTACTAATCATGATACTTTACACAAGATTTTCAGTGTCACATGACGAAGTGTCCCTGGGGAACACATCAGATAATCTCGAGGCAGTGTCCGAGGCCGCGTCCAACCATAGCGTCACATCAAGCCTGGAGCTCGAGACGGAGGACCAGAATGATAATCTCTCAGATATGGTAGGATTTGGTTGTTATGTTAGGGTTAGGGTCTCTTAGTGATAGTGACGTCACGTTTGGCACGTTTGTAGTGGCCAAATTTGCTGTGCCAGCGGTCTCGGGTTCGAATCCTGCTGAGCATTCATTTTTGTGATGAGCACGAATGTTTGTACTCCAATCATGTGTGTTTATATTTATAATATGTATATTGTATATATATAAAGTTATATATGTGTAGTGTATCAACTATCTGGTATCCATAACAAAAGCCTCTAGCTTACCATGGAACTAGATGGTGCTGTGTGTTAAAATATCCCAACATATTTATTTATTTCTTTACATAAAGAATCTTTTTATCTATTAAGACCTCTGTCTAATCCTTAGATGTTTGCATTAATGAAGATATAATTTCGAAAGAAGTAAAGTAAGTACGTATAACTACGTCTTGTTAACGTTAAAACACCTGTTGTATTTTAGATAAAATTTTCCCATAAGATTTACTATAGTCTATAGATACTTTTTTGAAAATTTATTTCACAATTTTAAGTTGAAAATGTATTTTAATTGCTTTTATTTCCTACGTTTTGCCAGGTATCAGCGAATGTAAGCGGTCGAGGAAGTCCTAATATATCTGGACGGGAAACCCCCTCATCTCAAGTCACGGATGGAGACGCGGCTGGTGACGTTCCGCCGAGACGGTATGTTGCATACTTATCTTTGATATAGGTATATGATGCAATAAATATTTTCATTAACAATGCTTAAAAACAATATAATATTAAATTAAAAACATAAAAACCTATTTCTAAACACTATGAAGTAAAAATTACCGAACATAGGTTTTCATTTACTACAGATACCTAATTAGATATTTTCGAAGTCCTACAGTTTAACGCAGCAAAATAGAATTAAGTCGTCTCCGAAAAAAATCGGCGAACTTACATAGAAAAAGATATATACAGACGAACATAGGAACTCCTCATTTTTGAAATTCGATTAAAAATTCAATTTATTGAACAGTATTCAACCGAACGCGCCAGTGAGCCAGGCGGTAAGCGCTGCTCAAGCGAAGCTGCTTAAACAGACTCGAAATGATATTGAAGATAAATTTTGCAAATTCGAAATCAAGGTAAATTTTTAAAGTTTTTATTTAAAACCTTAAAGTTGAAGTTTGATCGCGGTTGTTGTACCGTGCTTTAGGGAGCAGACAAATAAATAATAATAGTATGACTATGATACCGTCCGTTAACGTTTCGTCGATCCGTTTAACGTCATAATAATCGTTGGCTTACTATTACAAGGTTCTATGTTACAATTTTAGTAATTATTTAGTTATTAATGCTACAAAGTTCTGTGTGTCATTAGCTACAGTTTTGCAAAACCAAACCACTAGATAGCGGCACTATAACTACAAAATATTCAATTTTACATAGTTCTATGTTGTTTTTTTACGATAACAAAATAACGAAGTTCTATGTAAAAATTACTAAACTTCATTAAAATTAACATAGAACCTTGTAATAGTAAGCCAACGAATTATGTCAATGCCACTTTTTGAAGAGATATTTGTTAAGAAATGTGTATCTATGTTTTTATATATCATTGATAATACATAATTATAATGAAAATTTTAAATGATAATGACATGACAAGAACGGTATACTAAACCAAGATGTAGTAAAGAAATATTTTACTAAAGTTAAATGTGTCTATTGTATCTATTTTATAAGTATTAAAAAGTAAGTACAAAAGAGTAAGTAAATTAAAGAAAAGTAAGTAAAGAAAGTAAGTACTTGTAAGTATAAAAGAGATGTAATATACACATTTAAGTTTTATAAAATTTTTTATTAAATTTATATAAATTATGTATATTTTACAGAAACTTCTAGAAGGCGACGAAACGATAAGCATTATGTCGGACACGTGGAGCACCGACGTGCTCGCGTCCGATTCCGAGACTATCGGCGACTCTTGCGAACACACGCAAGTGGCAACTGGACAAGGTACAAGATTTTACATATTACTTTCTAAAAGTTAAAGTCGATTTTCGTACAACGTTTCTTTTATTAAAGTGTAAGAATAAAGGATATTTTAATCGCTAAAGCGTGTTTGTTGGTTTTCCTTTCTCGAGGTAACGGATAAATTTTATTTTTAATAATATGTTATTTATGGGCCAAAGACTCACATAGACTTTTTGTGCCAATACATGGAGTCTATTCTAAAAAGTTACCTAAGTAGACATAATTGAATATAATAGGTATCTCTATTAAGTTTAAAAGTACCATATTATTCAGTAATTAATGAGATGATGATTTTTTGTGTATTTTAATTATTCAGAAAGTCAATTTTTATTACAGAAGTCGATTACAATCTCCTTGTTTATTAATTCAAGATTTAGTTTCCTTTGACAAATCGCTCGAAAAATGATAATTACTGTACGCAGGCTCGAACACGAACCACGTGATAGCGCCCGACGTGTCGGAGACGGCGAGCGAGTCCGCGTGGAGCATGGACGTGCTCGCCTCCGACAGCGACCGCAACACTGAGGTTAGGTTCACAAAACAGAATTTTTTGAATTATTTCCAACATGATTACCACATATATTAATAGAAATAGAGTGTACTTATTGATGCGCATACTAGCGCTGCACTAAAATATCTTCTGTGCATAAGATTAGCCACCTTCTGTCAGCTAGCTGATGGCTAATCTGAAGGAGATTGGCTGCCGTGGCCGAAATGGGTCAGAAGAGCATTGTCTAATAGGTTTTACAATTAATAATAATGATGTCATATATGTAAACTAGCATTGCCCGCGGCTCCGCCCGCGTTCAGATGACCAAAAACTAAATTCTTAGGATTTACATATTAGTATACTCTTTGCAGTTTTTGTATTTTTTCTCAAAAATTACATTTTCCCGCGGTAAAAAAATTATCATATATGTTGACCCGGATAACCAGCTATCACCATACCAAATTTCATCAAAATCCCTCCAGTCGTTTTTCTGTGTGTTTTTCATTCTAAAAACTATAGATTCAGCATCTGTCTCGATAATGACTATTTCAATGAGATTTTCCAAAAAATATCTAATGTACAGATTCGGCTTAGTTACAATTTTATTATATGTATAGATAGATGTAAGCAATATGTATGTGCAGGTGGACACGGACGACTGCGTGTCGGTGGCGGCGCGCTCGGACACGTCGTGGCCGCGCCGCGCCTCGCAGCAAGACGCGCCCGCGCACGTGCCCGCCGCGCTCGCGGTACGCACATACTATATATTATTTGTTGTATAGCGATTAAATATACAGAATCTTTATTGACACAATTCTATGTTGTTACAAAAGCCTGTTGAAGCCTCTGACTCCCAAACTAGAATAAACCTGTATGTCAGGAGTCAGCGCCCTCTTCCATCTTTAATCATAATTGGAGTTCAATAATATCACAGAGCATGTTTAATAGTAATAATTTTAGAATTTGTTTGTAAAAGAAGAAAATTAATGCTTATTCTATACTAAAAACTTACCTTCCCTTCAGTCGGGGGCGTCCCTAAGTTTGAATGGTTCAAAAGCGCATTAAAGACAAACGTCTCAACAATTTTTTTTTTTTTTTATCATAATCGGATGGTTTAGGAACTCATAGTGAATAAACATATGAATATTCATTTTTATTTATATAACCGATAATTATTTTTTTGATAAAAAATATTAATTAATTTTACTAAATACACATATTGCATATTCTTGGTTTAATAAGTACAATATTTGTATTAAATAATTGTAATGGTTAGAAATCTTCTAGTACGTTTTATTATTTTATACTAATGTTGATTTATTCTTTAGAATGGCAACGCAAAGCGACCAGATATAGGCAGTCCTCGACATACATTTCGTTCGAATTTACCAAATAGGTAAGTATTTTTATCATTAATCATCTTAAAGGATGTACAAAAAAAAGTAGAACAAGTAAAGTCTGGTTTTTTCTCCATCCGAATTTCCTATGTAAATTTCAAAGTGAAAGAGTAACAAACATACATACACACAAACAATTTTTCGCATTTATAACGGGCATAGAAGCAGCGGGTACCTGAGCGCGACGGCGACGCTGTGCCGCGGCGGCGAATTGGACCTGCCGGCGCACAGCGCGCACGCGTACGCCATAGAAAACCGGAAGAGCATACTCGTCAATGGATATCCGGTTTGTTTTTATTTTATTATCTGTTCTATTAGGGTTTGATATTTTAACTACCTTGTTCGTCTAATACAGAGGTCTCGGGTTCGAGTCCCAGATCGGACCAAGTATAGCCCTGCGTTACATTTGTTTTTGTGATTTATGATTGCGATGACGTTGGGAGTGCGTAATGAAATTCAAATTTTTAATTTTATAGTGGAATAGATTTTTTTAAGTTTTTTTTTAATTTATTCAAGATTTGTTCGTCGATAAACTAATGAAAATATATTTATTTTTTAGGTAATGACGTGCTACGCCTCGGCGCCAGAGAGCCCGGCGGTGACGGCCGCAGCGCTCAACAATGATGTCTTCGATTACGCGCCACAGAACAAGTACTCTTCATATTATTATAACTTATATTTATTTCTTTTTATCACACGAGCTTACTAAATATTAATTACAATTATAATAATAATTACTAGAAACTATTCACACACGCAAAATAGGCGCTTAGTCGTCGAGTTGCGGAAAACAGCCCGAACATACCATACCATACTAGAAACTATTAAGAAAATATAAAAATAATTATTGATTTATCGGAAAAAATCAAAATTGCAAACAGAAAAGTTTCTTTGAAAGTTTACAGTTTCAATTTTTAAACAATGGTATTTTTTATTTCCGATTACACTTAGTCTAATTAATACATATAATACAGCAACGGTTTCTCATCGGTATCAAAGAAAGTTAGTTTTTATCAATATCAATAGGTATCTATTTTATATTTTTGTACTTGAATATAGGAAATACGGTCTTCTTTTATTCATTCATATATGAAAAATATCTTGTATGAATTATGAATTATATACGATTTTTCTGTTGTTTGTCAGCACAAGTGCCTCGGAGTCGACAGTGGAGGGCGCGGCGGGCGGCGAGCCCGGCGGCCAGGCGGGCGCGGGCTCCGACGCCACCAGCCAGTGGGTGGACGACAGCTTCCCCTCCAAGTACCACATGCCCTCCACCTCCAAGTCTTACGATGATAATGATCTTATGGACAGGTCCGTTGTTGTACTTATTTATATGGAGTGTTATTAAAGATCAGTCTTTTATTGTAAAATTTATATATAATGAAAGGAATCTGTTATATAATAAATTATATCTGTTATATATATATATATATATATATATATATATATATATATATATATATAACAGCCATACCTATATATATATATATATATATATATATATATATATATATATATCTAAAATATATATCTAAAAGGAAATACTACGTAAAATATTACAAAAGAAACGCCCAACAGTTTTCACTACGTTAAATTGATCTAAACGTGAAATAATAACAAAAGTTAGGTTTATGTCTATATAAATCCAAAAGTTTATAACTTAAAATTAGTTGATGTTAAAAAGTGCTGTTTTCTTATTATTTCAGATCACTAAACTCCAGTGAGAGTTCATTCAACGCGCTATCCGTATCACAATACGACAGACGATTCGATTCCGGAATCGATACAGAGCGTGCCGAAACCGAGCCGAGGTCCGCCATATCCGATTTAATGACTCGAATGAGTTCCGCAACGATTTCCACATCGAATCTCGTGAACAACATCACGTCACGAATAGTGAAGTCCGAGATACGAACGAGCATAGTGAATATAAGTTCGTCGAGAATCGAGAAGAAGCGTGAAGCGAGTAACATATCGCTGAGCACGCTGTCGGTGAACAGCGTGGAGACGTCGGCGTCGGACAAGAGCTCGAGCCAGGACGTGAACTCGGAGAACGTGACGGAGCGGCGCGTGAGCCCGCCGCCCGCGAAGCCGCCCTCCACCGGCGCCATACCTAAAAGTATTAGCTTTGATGCTACCGCGGAGAAGTTACAACGGTTAGTGTTAACTTTAAATATTCTACTTTTTGTATCGTTGGTACCCAGTCAAATTTAAAAAAATGTCACGTATTGACAAAAGGTCGTAGTAAAATATAACTATATTTGATTTATTTGGCGTAATGTCTCTGTGTGTGTTTCTAATAATGAAAATTAATAATACAATTTTCTGTACAAATTTTAGATTAACTCACAACAATAAATTTAAATAAACAATTATTCTGTTATCATATTTTTTCGACATCGCGTTTTGATACTTCTATCTTTAAGTGTAATATTTAGAATTTAGATATGACAATAATGCATTTCGCTAATATGAAATGCCTAACATTACAGGAGGCGAATAGTGGGTGAAGATGGTCTTGTAGGAAATCTGGATGAATTGAAGAACAATGTGAAGCGTTCGGGCGGCAACCTGCTACACAAGATTAAAATGTTTCGACACAAGGGCCGCTCTCACCACAATGCCGGTAAGACTGATCCAGTTATTTGCTTTGATCTCTGCATCTTGATTTGAAAATACGTTGTTCGTAACACATTTAATAATATGCTGATATGATGATGATAAATATATTTAATGATTATTTTTCAAGTAAATGATTTTTAAATGTAATTGACACATGACCCAGTGAAGACGTGTTTTATAGTATTATTTTCGTTGACAACGTTGAAAATGGTATTTCAAGATCACTTTTTGTGGTACATTATCTGATTGGTATTAGCATCTTCATATTTATTCAAAAGCAGTGCCGCGGTACTTTCACGAACTGACCTCAAAATCAGCTGTAGATGGCTTTTCAAAACTATTATAATATTTCAGATATAAAAGTGTCTGAAGAGGAAGCAGTCGGCGAGGAAGTGAACAGAGAAATAAAAGATGGTGAGAGTTCAGAGGAGATATTGGCCAAGTACCGTCGCGCGGCGGAGTGCGCGCCGCGCCGCGCCTCGCGCTCCGGCGACCTCGGCGACCACGCGCACCACGCGGACGTAGACAGGTGACACAATATGCTGGCTTTGAAGATAATGCGTTTTCCCATTAGTTGTGTATGCAGGGAGATAATATATTTATTATATTGACCCTAAATTACTCACAAAATATCCCTAACATAAAATATAGTTTTATAAAATTATCAATGGACTAGCGAAGACAAGTTTTCAACCGACTTCAAAAAGGAGGAGGTTCTCAATTCGACTGTATGTTTTTTTTTATGTTTGTTACCTCAGAACTCCGTCATTTATTAACCGATTTGGACAATTTTTGTTTTGTTTGAAAGGGTATACTTCCAGATTGGTCCCATTTAAATTTCAAAAAAAAAAACCACCCCTAAGGGTGGAAAAACAACTAATGATGAATTTAACCTACTTCTAATTGTCATATTGACTTGAAACTTTGCAAGTATTTCTATTTCCGTTGATAGTACAGTGGTTCGGTGTTGTTGACCTGATTTGATGGCAAGGCCAGAAGGTGGATAGGTGGAACTCTTCAACGGCTAATAGTAGATACTTTGAGTTTGGGCTTATTTTGTTTGATTTGACAAGCCTAACACGTTAGAATCCTTACTTTGCTACTACTGTCTACACTAAAAAGGGAAAAATAAAAACTTTTTAACAAAAAAATTAAAACGACTTCAAACAAAAGCACTAAAAAGTAAAAAATAACTGATTAGTAGTTTTCATTTACTATACATACCTAATCAAATATTTTCGAAATCGATGCCAGCCCTTACAAAGCAAAGCACACCGACTTTGAAAATATTTGATTAGGTATGTATAGTAAATGAAAACTACTAATCAGTTATTTTTTACTTTTTATTAATGATACATTTGGCTCAGTTTGTAGTGACCCTACTAGCTATGCCAGCGGCCGCGGATTCGAGTCCCGCTGGGGGCAATCATTTGTGTGATGAGCACGAATGTTTATACTCCAGTTATGGGTTATATTTATAAAATGTATGTTTTTAAAGTTATATATGTGTAGTGTATCAACTATCTGGTATCCATAACACAAGCCTCGTAGCTTACCATGGAACTAGATGGCGCTGTCTTAATGTCCCAACAAAAAGAAATCGAAAAAAAATTACATTAAATAATATTGATATAGGCATAATCCCGCTACGATCGCGGACACGCCGGCGTAACAGTTAACAATAGATTTCTTAGAAATTTACCTGGAGGTATTATATTTTCAAAAGCAATAAAGATTATTAAAAAAATATATATTTCACCTTCATTTAATTCACAAGCAATTCTCCATTCTTCTGTTCTCTTTCACAGGTCGGAGGGTGTGGTGGATTTAAACGACCCAGAAGTTTTTAACAGTATGAAACGACGACTCCGTGTCGTATTATCTAGTACTGACATCCCTTGCATCGAATATGTGCCTAATGTAAGTATTAATGAATACGTAGTTTCGAATAATATCTGCTATTTGCTATAATAACATTATTTATTTTCTGCGGTCTCCTCGTTGGTCTAGTGGATAGCAGGTACTGTTGCAGTTCTTGAGTCCTGGGTTCAATTCTCAGGTGGGGTCAAGTTTCTGTGTCATTTCGATGCCTCGGAGAGCACGTAACGCGTCCGACCTGCGTCTGATTGCGCACCGCAAGTGTCACATTATCGTGTATCGGACTTTGATAGTGAATGGAATAGAACTAAAGTATGTTTGTGCATACAAATGTGCACAGTCATCTTCTACTCAGATGGTTAGTTTCAGAGATTTTGGCTGTCGTGGTTGATATTATAATTGTTTATACAAAAATTTGTGCGTACATACACGTACACACGTGTGTGTTTGTTCACGCTGAAGCGGTGCTGGACGGATTTATTTTAAGTTTACACACGTACTATTAATTAAGACTATCATGAACTGGAGTAGCACATAGGCCACTATATGGCATCTAGTAAAGTATTCGAGTGAAGTTGGGGTAATTAGCTAGTTAGGGTTCCGTATCTCAAAAGGTAATAAAGGAACCCTTATAAGGTCACTCTCTTGTCCGTCTCTCAGTCTGTCTGTCCGTATGTCACCACCGGTTTTCTCACTAACGGGTGGACCTAGCAAAATTTATACCAGGTACTGAGGTCTATAGTCCCTATTAGATGTTTAAAAATCAAGGTCCTGAGTAAACACGATAAAAAGATATGGGCAAATTTAGATTTTCGCGAAAACTTGTAAGTACCAAAATTTATCTTAAAAAAGTTGAAAATTAAAGTTAAACAGATTCCCTACAAATTGTCACGGGACTCTCGGTGAGCACTTGTCCGTAATGTTTGATGTACGAGTGTGTCGGTCTGCAGCGCTGCACGAGCTCGTCGCTGGCGGAGTGGACGCGCGCGGGCAGCTCGGCGGAGGCGGCGGCGGCGGCGCGCGCGCTGGCGGGCGCGGGCGCGGGCGCGGGGCGCCTGGCCGCCGCGCTGCGCGCCGACCTGGCCGCGCGCCGCCCCTACGCCGCCTACCTGGCCTCCTGCCGCGCCGCGCTCGCGCACGCGCTGCACGACCTGCAGGCGTATGTACATTGTTTTATATTTTGTATTATTGTGGAATTCTATATTCATTCCTTTGCCATTTTTTTTTCAATTATTGCTATTAATTCGACAGCATTTCATTCTATTTAATCCTTAAGGATGAAGTGATCTCTTAAGATCAAAAGATAGATTAGAATGATAGATATGTACAAACATAATTTAATGGCTTCATTGTTTTAAAATTTAAATAATGCGTTTTTCCAGTGCAACCCATTTGTCTTAATTTTTCACTATCGGTCGATAGTTTTCTTTCTACTTTAATGTTTATTTTTTTATTAAATAATCTGAGTTTTGAAATAAAATTCATTTAAAACTTTAGCTAATTTAAATAATTACTTCTTCTCACTTATCTCATTTTCACTTTCTCTTGATCGATTACGAGATATTTTTATAATTATTTATTTAATCGTAAATTGCAATATAACATATAAGAAACTTTTTAAGGTGCATGTTAACAGACTTCTCCTGGGCAAACTCGCTAGATCATAGACCTTATCTATGCCTCGAGCAAAGATGAAGGTCAAGAGTAAGCCCATTTTTTATAAAAAAAAAGTGATAACTATGTCCGGTCGCGCAGTCAGATCAAGCTGGTGCAGTGGGAGATGTCAGCGTGCGCGCGCGCGGCGGGCGCGGCGCGCGCGCTGGAGCAGCTGGAGCGCGGGCCCGCGCTGCGCCGCCTCGCCGCGCACCACGCGCACGCGCACGCCATGCTCGAAGGTACGCCATCTCTCATATCGCTTACGAGTACTTGTGTGCTCACAACATCAACCTCTGTTATACTCTACTAACGACTCACCCTCGCTTCGCTCTGGTTCGTCCCTAACTTGCTTGCCAATATAAACTTTCATACCCATCTTTATCCCCTTAAGGGATGATTTCCGGAATAAAAAGTATTCTTACCAGTACTTAGTAGTCCTTACCAGTCTCAAACTATCTTCTTACCAAATTTCATCTAAATCGGTATAGTAAATCCAGAGATTGCCCTCTACAACGTCACAAACTCATAAACTCACAATCTCAACAACTTTACCTTTTTATAATATTAGTATAGATAACTTTTGAATTTTTCGCGTTCCATAATTATATAACAATAACTACGAGACTCAAACGCGTGAATTCGTTAGTGGCTATATACCTTATTCCCGACGCTTCGACTACGTCGCACCAGCCATGGTCACGGGCAGACTCTGTATGCTCATCAGCTTAAATGTACATGTATACATTCATAACTTTATTTTTTATTTTTTTATATTGATGCATTTACGTATAAGTGTATATGTACTACAGACGTGTGTTAACTCACTGGAAACCCAACAGAATCTCCCCGTATTAAATTTTCTAATTATAAAATTCTATATTTTAAAATTATAGATTTTGATGCAATTAACTTTATAAATTTATAATAAAACTAGCATTGCCCGCGGCTGCGCCTGCGTTCAGATGACCAAAAACCAAATTCTTAGGTTTGACATATTAGTATTCTCTTACAATGCAATTTTTGTATTTTTTCTCAGAAATGAGATATTTTCCCCCGGTAAAAAGTATGCTATATGTTGACCCGGATAATCAGCTACCATCATACCAAATTTCGTCAAAATCTGTCTAGTGGTTTTCTTGTGATGCGGTAACAGACAGACAGACAGACAAAAATTCAAAAAACTTTAGATTTGGACTCTGTCTCAATAATAATGTCTATTTCAATTAGATTTTCCAAAAATATTTAATGTACAGATTCGACTTAGTTACAATTTTATTATATGAATAGATATATATATATTTTTTGTGTTATAAACAGGTGGAGAGTTGATAGACGAAAGAGCGACTAGACTGACGGCCAGCATTAAGGCTATTACAGCTGAGATCAAGGCCGACCCCTCCTGGGAAGGTATTACCTATACATATAATTAATTGAAATCTTCATATGAATCTTTGACAATTTATTCTTAATGAATTTATTTGCCTTGATAAAAGAACTTTATCATTTCGTTATTTATTATAATTTATTATAGATAATATATTGCGCTTGCTAAACTGAAGCGGGTCTGAATCCCGGATTCCGCACCTCTGATGTTGATCTTTTGCGAATTTTTAACAAGATAAAATTCGCAAAAGACAACAATAAATAAGATAAGAATTTTAATAAGATAACAATTTGCCTTAAATTAATAGAAAAAACCAGCATGTCGGATAGAACTTTTCTGAACAAATTTTCGAAAGACATGTGAATTCCGCCAATCCGCACTTAGCCAGGCCGTTAAAAATAATGAAATCTAAATATAATAATATACAATGTTATCGTCGCAGGCGCGACGGCCACGCTGCTGGAGAGCGCGGAGGTGACGGTGGAGCGCGCCGTGTTCGCGCGCCTCTACCTGCACGTGCTGTTCCCCAACGGCGACGGCGACATCGCGCGCGACCAGTCAGTACACACTCATATATATTATTATACTAGCGACTCGCTCCGCTCGGGTTCGTCCCTATTTACGTTTTAACGTTCAGTATAGATTTCTCATATATGAGATATTTTCCCACAGTAAAAAGTATCCTATATGTTGACCGGATAATCAGCTAACATCATACCAAATTTCATCAAAATCCCTCCAGTAGTTTTTCTGTGATGCGGTAACAGACAGACAGACAAAATTTCTAAAAACTACAAACTCGGCCGTTGTATCGATAATAATGTTTATTTCAATAAGATTTTCAAAAATACTTAATGTACTTATTTGGCTTAATTACAATTTTATTATATGTATAGATTACTTCTTTCGAGTTATGCTAAATGCAGACGTTTAAATGTAGTCGTCTTAAAACGTAGGTTATAGGTATTCATATCCACCATTTTAGCGCACTTTGATTAAAAATATGATTTCTAACAGTAAACACATTTTTATAGGGATAAAAATAAAGCCTCTAGCACTCGGCGGTAATATAACTTTCTATTAGTAAAGAATTTTTTGAATTATCCCCTACATACTTTATCTATATATCTATACATATAATGAAATTCTAACTAAGCCGAATATCTGTACATTAAATATTTTTTGGGAAATCTTATTGCAATAGACATTATTATCGATACAGAGGCCGAATCTATAGTTTTTAGAATTTTTGTCTGTCTGTCTGTTACCGCATCACGGAAAAACCACTGGAGGGATTTTGATCAAATTTGGTATGAAGGTAGCTGGTTATCCGGGTCAACATATAGGATACTTTTTACTGCGGGAAAATATCTCATTTCTGAGAAAAAATACAAAAACTGCAATGTAAGAGTATACTAATATGTAAAACTTAAGAATTTGGTTTTTGGTCATCTGAACGCGGGCGGAGCCGCGGGCAATGCTAGTCTGTTTATAATATTAGTGTTTTTGTCGAAACCAACTGGAAAAAACATTTTTTTAGAAAAAATCTAAATATTACATGATTTTTTTTTAATAAATGAAAATAAATTCAATGACTTGGCTAGGCAAGTCATTAAACGATATTGAACTAAGTCATTTGCCTAGTTGTTAAATGGCGGTTCGCGTAATGCTAATTAAACGGTGCGATTTAATGAAAGGACTAGGCTGCTTATTAAATGGCTGATTGACCTAGTTGGTGACGACATACACAAGTATAAGACGACACGTTTGGCTCATTGTGTAGTGACTCTACTTACTGTATCAGCGGTCGCGGGTTCGAGTCCCGCTGGGTGCATATATAGTGTATTAAGTATCCGGTATCTATAACACAGGTCTCGTAGCTTGCAACGGAACTAGATGGTGCTGTGTGTTAATGTCCCACCATATTTGTATTGTATGTGCGTGTTTGTGTGCGTCAGGGTGCTGAGCGAGCACGTGCGGCGGCTGGGCGCGTGCGGCGCGCGCGCGCTGGCGCTGGCGCCGCGCCACGCGTGGGCCGCACCCTTCCCACACGCGCAGCGCGCGCTGCGGCACCTGCCCGTGTTCCGCACGCCGCGCGACAAGGTATGCTACACCGGATAGCACCCACTTGTTATTGCTTTCATTCCGATACAACTACACTACACTTCTCCAAAACTCTTAATGATATTTTAAAACATCTATAATTATAAACCAAATTAATTATACTTAAAGTAAAAGTTTAAACAGTCTCTTAGTTTTTAATTTAAATGAATCCTTTAATGATGTATTATTTAGTTTAATTACAGATGTCTCAATATTATACAAGATGCCTAATCCTAGACAATGAAACTGGATAGCGCTTATTCGAGCTATTTTTGTTTTCTTGAATAGATAATAGATGTCGCTATCCGCAAGCTGTCATATGTTATTTTATAAATATGGGTATATAGAGATGTAACGGTATAGTAAAGGTAATGTAAATATGAGTGAGAACCTCGTGCACTGTGCACTGCGCAGGTGGCGTGCGTGCTGCGCTGCGTGCGCTCGCTCGTGGCCACGCTGGCGCTCACGGACGGCTCGCCGCCCGCCGCCGACGACATCACGCCCGCGCTCGTGCTCGTCATCATTAAGGTAACATATTATAACATACTAGCGAAAAATAAAAACAAATCTATCCCTCGGGAACCGTATATTTTTCCGGGATAAAAAGTAGTCTATGTGTTATTCCAGACTATAATCTATCTGTGTGCCAAATTTCATCCAGATCCGTTCAACCGTTCTGGCATGAAAGAGTAACAAACATCTAAACATACTCACAAACTTTCACATTTATAGTATTTATACAGATAGCATTATATAGTATTTTATTATTATATAGTATTAAATAGAGAGTTATTGATTTATAAAATCCTTCGTGGAGATATTATAGAGCATAAGTGTGTGCGTAGATACAAGTGCAGTCTGTATTCCTTTCTTTATTAAAGTCGGATGGGACGATATGTCGGGAGATCAGGTTTTCTGAAGACGGGGGCGTGCCGTGTTTATATGCTATATGGTTTTACTTTTATTTCGTCTCTATTTTTTTCCATTAATTATCACGTTTATTATTATTTTAAAAGAGTATAACTTGTGTGTTTTACATGTAAATATCTATAGATAATATTGATTTCATGTAATTTTAAGATTTGTTTTTCATAGTTATAAAATTTTAATACAACTTATTTTTTTATGTATAATTTTTTTGTATAATGCAACTAGACTAAATTTAAAGTATTCCGTTGAAGATATCAATTAATATGAATAAAAAAAGATTTTCAAAAATAAATCCCACATGAAAATTTAAACATAATTAAAGTAAACTACAAGTGATCTGCTATATTATGTGTATTGTGTATGTATATCAGGTGAACCCGCCGTCGCTGCTGTCGACGCTGGACATGGTGAACGCGCTGGGCGGCGCGGCGCTCAGCGGCGAGGCGCTGTACTGGTGGACGCACTTCTGCGCCGCCGTCGCCTTCATCAAGACCATGGACTACCCCGCGCCCGCACCCTCACACCCCGCCCCGCCCGGCTCCTAGCCCGAGCGAGCGCTGGTAAATATTTTTTTTTTTTACTTAAACATACTACAAGCCTCGTAGCTTACCAGGGCACTAGATGGCCCTGTGTGTCAATGTCCCAATATACATACATACTTAAACATACTGTTTAACATGTTTTTTTGGAACGAAGTTTCTTATCGCATGTTATACTCGGCATACTTGGCGATTGAGAGCTAGACGGAAAATGTGTAATATTTAGACCGTCACGACACTTTTTATTATTTTTTAAGAGTACTCCCGTGTGACGCATTACAAGTGCCAGGCGAGCGTAAGTGGTAAGACGTGTATGTATTAAGTGTATAAGAGACATTACTTGATGTTCGTGATCTTAGTAATCGTAACCATTAGTATTGCCCTATATTATAAACCGAAGGCAGACAGCGAAAGGTACTTCGATCCTACCTCCTTCTGGATGTTTCACGACAACTCTCGACATTTTTTCAAAGTGTTGAAGTACTGATGATCCTACTGGATTTGACGACGTCACCGGTGACAAGTTTTTTTTAATATATATTATGAGCTGTTAAGACCTATTGGCCCTGTCAACATCACCTGGCGGAAACCTGGACAGAAGGTCCCGTCTAAAGTTGAGCATGAAACTCTAAATGAATACCTTCCTAAGGATCCTCGGATGCTAGGTTCAGACCACGATTTACGAACTTTGACATCTTTGAGGTTTATTTGGTCCAGCGGTTGACCGTATTTACCACACAATAGTTATTTATTAGAATGGACTAATGGAAATGATTTTCTAAAATATATCATATTTTGGGAATGACGTGTCTAATCCAGGTTCTGTCGACGTTGGATGTTAAAATTTGTAATTTCATTAATTTGATATTGGACTCGCATTATTAATGCAAATATTTTAATTTGTTAGTGTATGTATGGAAATTTGTTTCTCCTACATCCTAAAATGGCTGGAATTAGATAAAATTTAGTGTGCCTATACAGAGTATGATCTGGGCTAAGGAGTAATGCATATACTATTCCTAGACACCTACTGATGCACCCGAGCAAAGCCAGGGTAAGACGTTAGTGTAATATTTTTATTTATATTTACAGAGATCAGCGCGAAACATCGAAATAAGAATACAGCTGTGCCGCGGCCTCGCCCGGCGCCGTCGGAACACAGTGTAAAAGAAAAATTTAAAAAAATATAACACTTATTACCACTATTATAATACAGTATTAGTAGTTCAGTTAACAGGACAAGTTATGGCGCTGTAAAAATGATCATAATGATTATATATTTTCTTTAAATAAAAAAATAATTATGTAAAATTTAATTATTCGACAAACGATTTATAATAATTATCATATATTATATAAAAAAAGCTTTCATAGATTCGGTTAATTGAACTAATTAGATGTTTAAAACTATATATATATATATATATATATATATATATATATATATATATCTTATATATATCTTAGTTTACTTCAAATTACATTTATTAGGTACCAATTCTGTTGTAAAATGATCTAATAATTCTATATCGCTGTATAATCAGCTGTTTTGAATTTAATGGAAGCTAACATCGATTAACATACATTATGTAATATAGTAGCTTATTATAATGGAATATTGAGTAGAAAATAGAAATATAAAATGTAGGTACACTTTCATATATATTTCAATTATTAATATTTATACATAAACAAGATCTCGTCAGAATATCACTATGATAAATGTGTATAGTTGTGGGATATCTGACTTATTAAAGTGTCTTTCCATGTTAGTTAATTATACAACGCGAATATAACGGCGCCTCCCTTATGTAATACCTTATAGTCATCGGCTAATTCGGTCGAGATATTGTCAACTTTTTTTTAACCTTGGGAAATGCATTTATGCACGAGGTGTGGGACTTACCGGCAAAGCCAGTACTACCCACTAAAACCTTCCCCCGTCATAATGGGGCGTCGCAGGATCGCTTACGCATTCAACTACGATGCCCCGACGGCAGGTCTGCCGAAGCAGACCACAACAACCATGGGGTTGCTCCAAGGTCCACTCTGCTATCAGAGAAGTACCAGGAGCAACCCGCATGGTACACCGCCCCCGAAGAGGGCCATCTCCCACCGCCCACCGAAGTGGGCCACCTCCCTGTGCGTTTCTTGGCTTCGCGCCCGGCTGGGTTGCCGGGTACTACTGAGACCCAGCACACCCCCCCCCCCCCCCCCACGACAAGTTGAATGCACGTTGGGGGGTATACTGTCAACTGCCACTTGCAACTCACTTCAGACCAGCAAATATAACACGCGTACTATAATACCATTAATCATTAATTTCGTTAAAGAATTCTGCTAAATATACCAAAAAGACAATGCAATGTTACAATCAATAATAACACTATTTAAGGAGAATCAATTGCTACTTCTCTTATTATAATATCATATACAGGCGGGTCTTGTTTTTGTACAATATCTTTGCAAGTTAAATACCTACTAGATGCATAGAAATAGAGGAGTCGTGTACTTTTCTCACCCAATATTGAGTTCAGACATTTATTTACTGCCCCAGAAGACATTCCTCGGAAGTATTCCATACAAAGATCGAATATTATGAATGTAGCTTTTGTGATTTTTTTAGCATGATAAAGGAATGATGGAGTTGTAATAAATACAGTAGAAAATTCCATGCAAACTTATCTTTTATATAAAATAAAATATTGTCAAATCATTTTTTATAGAACATTTTGTACATAATTTTGTATTATTTGTTAAAATATGAAAAGTTAAATGGAAGTATTAATAGCAAGAAAAGCTGAGACAGTTTTAATGATTTAATCGATAATAAAATGTACTTTCTAGTCCAAGTGGTGGTGGTGTATAAATTCAAAATGTAAAATTCAATTGTTCTATACAAATGTTATCTTTCATATAATTGCTTATGTGATTGAAATGAACTAAATATGAAAAATACATATGATATACATTGATCATTCAATCTCAAGATTAATTTAGTATTACACCATCAGTGCCATCTTAATTCAAACAGTTTTTATAACCACAGACAATATATTTTAGTACATGGAATATTATATTTGCTAATGTTATTTATTATAACTCTGTCAGGATCAACTTTGTAATCGGTAAAAACAATCGTTATGATAATGTAAATAGCACAAAAATAATATAAGTTAAAACAATTTAGCACCTAAGTTAATTAATTTATTATCTGTGCTTTATTATTAGTATCATATATAGACGTAGAGAATGGGCTGAGCAATACTCCCATGAAATCGACAACTCTCTAGAAAGAGAGAAAGCGAACGTGTGGCCAGTACCTGTCTTTTATTCCAATTTGAATTTGTAAATAGATTGTATAAAAATTATAATATTATAATGGAATATAAAATGGTTATAAATATTTATCTACATTAATCATATTTTCATTAATACAGAAGGGTTCTGGCCGCACATTTGTTGTCTCTGTCGCGCCTAGCCGCCATTTTTAACTGACGGCTGGCAAAGAAACACTCGACCCACTCTCTATGTCTATGGTATCATAGGATCATAGTAACGTGGTTTCACATGCGAGCTTATTTTGAATAAATTGGAAAGACTCGAGTTCACCTTGTAAAATCGATTATGGAAATTTATTATGTAAGCTATACTAATAACGATTATATAATCATTACATAGTTAATGGCAGGTGTAGATAACCTTTGACGTCGTCACTGCGATTGTAGGCAGCGGTTATTACAGAATTTCATTCATCTGAGTAATGAGTTGAGTTCATTGTTTTTTTTTGCTGTAATAGTAAATAATAATAAAAATCATATAGAATGACACAATTTAGAAATATGCCGATTATATCTTATTTAATTTATTGATGTAAAAATGTATTATAATATTACAAATAATTTTCATCTTAACGATCAATCCATTGTCATGCCTTCTGTGTTGAATGTATCTCGTACGTATAGATATCGCCCTTCAGTTACAACTTATTTCCGTTTTTTTTTAATCATTTTCATTTATTTTTAGTATTTTTTTCTAAATTGTGTCGTCGACACTGTATCATTTGTATAAATACGTATTTATGTGAGGTAGCCGTGGATTTTTACAATTTCTTTCAAAATCTAGATGCAATTTAATAAAAGTAAACTAAATAAGTCTTAATAACACTTAGGGCCTTTTACATCGTCTGTGATTCTATGTGTGGCTAACTAATACTCAAGGGACTGTATTTTTGGAAATATCTTGTTCGTGATGGTAAATGATATTTTATTGTACCTATTTTTGAGTTGTTTTTGAATACTGTAATTTGTAAAGGTAAATTGGTAGGCCTCAACGAAGAAGCCGCTACAAATAAAATTAGTTTCCAGATTAGATAGATTTCATAAAATATAACGATTTTCCCTCTTTAAAAATGGATGTGTAAAAAGTTGCGTAAAAACCAAGTAAATGTTCTATCGATTATTGAATATTATTTTAACTTAATATTACTTATTGTACATTGTTTGTAACTTTCTTGCTATTCTAAGCGGTCGATACCGGTCTGATGCCGAACGTCGATTATATATATCGTCAAAACATGAGCAACGAACGAGATAATATAAATATAATTTAGATACTTTGCATTAGTTCAATGGAAACGCTACTTAAACAGGTTAATTATATTAAGAATCTTGTAATCATCGTGTAGACTGTAGAGTAAGCATAATGGCACTAGTTTCGTTTGCACTTCAATTACTCTCGAATTTCATTAAAAATTAGCTAAATTATAAAATCAAAGAAGGCCTCTTCATACAATAACAAATATATATTTTCTCAATTTTAATATCAAGAAACTGGCTTAACATGTTCGTTCTTCTTTAGCATTCTCTTAAGGACTGTGCCTTTATTCATTCTTAGTTATTTCATTCAATTGAATGTTTCACAGTAAATGTAACAGCTGCTAAAATGAGAAACAAATGGAAAATTATTGATAAATATTGTCTGCATAAAATCTAACATAAGACGATTTCATCATAATATTGTATATCTAGTATTAAATGTATATTATAATAATTAATTAGTCTTTCTGGTATCGTGTTTGAAATTTATTGTAACGATTTAGTACTATTGAAGAATATATTGTGATAAATTCTATCTTTATTGGGTTTAATGTGTATAGCGGCCTTTATCCATTACTGTTACGCTAACTTTCCATAATATACTAATCATCTTGCCTAGAACGTTAACTAGACTGCAAATGTGTATAGCTCACCTATTTTAATAGCGGTTAATATTATGTAATCAGAGCAATGGAATATATTTAGCAATAAATAAAAAAATTGAGATATCGTGGTTTTATATTTCCCTTTCAATTTGACTGTGGAATCCTCAACGGCATTCACAATAAAATATATATTAAGTTATCAGTTGATACAGATACTGTAAAATTTAAATAATTCCTCACAACAATACAGACATGATAATAATTAACATTAACTAAAGCTATATCAATGTTAAGCAGTATTGGATATTTTAATTGACAATAGTGTAAAAATTCAGATGTGGCCCATAAATTTAACATGACAATTATATCACTCAAAATAGATAAACTTGCACAAACTTCAATAATTAACCAAAATATATCATTTATATATTTTTTAAATTTTAAAGTGCAGGCAGGTATTTGTTTAATCTTTATTTGAAATAAATCTGCACAAAATATTTCGGGAGGTGAGAAGAGGAATATTAATTTGTAGCAGTAGGTTATTAGAATAAAAATACATAAATTGGCATACACAAATTTACTGTGTACTTGATTTTTACATTTTTAAAAAGTTACACTTAAAAGCGACAACTCCCCCGGCAGCACTGCAACAAGACAAAAATAAATTACAATCATACTCTTTACTTATATTCATCATTTAAAAATAGTTGAAAAAAAAATCAGTAACAATTTAACGTCACGGCATTCAGCAGTAGCAAATAATGTTTTTTGCATCACTTTATTTACTCATATTTTTCCTTATTTATGCAAAAAAAGAATTGCTAGTTATAGGATTCCACTGTATAGAATCGACTATATTTTAACTATTTACCTTATCACAATGAAGTAGATCTATGATCTAGGTCTTTCCTTCTTTTCTTTGTACAGCGCCAGGAGTGATACATTGGCGACTTTCACCACCTGAAAATTAAACAATGCTTGATATCCAAACATAAAACATAATTTACCTTTTCATGTTCTGGCAGTCAGTTAAACATGTACATCACAGGAGTCAGAGTAGCAAATACTCCAATATCAAAAGATTCATCATTTACACAAAGTTTACTGACTGCCAATTTTCATTGCCATGAGTGTGGCTTTAAAGCAAAAGACAATTTGGAAAAGAACTAGCAAAGATCATGTTTGAGTCATTTATACACCCAGTGTAGTGTTAATTTAATATCTATGATATGGTGACATGGTTTCATAAAGCAAATTATAGCCATCTTGTTTTATTTGTTATAATTGTAATCACTTCCAGCATGTAAGTTAATAATTTTATTTATAGAGAAATTTATTACCTAACAATTATTTTATTTTAAATTAACAAAGTTATCATTATATTAGTATCATTTTAACAAAATTTCTTGAATTAGCTTTTTTGCAACAAATATCGAATATATATATATATATATATATATATATATATATATATATATATAAATAAAAAACTCTATCCCAAGGAAACCATACACTTTTCCAGAATAAAAAATAGCTTATGTGTTATTTTAATGTATGAGCTATATTATTGTACAGTTTAATTTAAATCCATTCAGTAGTTAATACATGAAAGAGTAACAAACATTCATACATCGTCACAAACTTTCACATTCATAATATTAGTAAAATTGGACTATATAGTTTCAATTAAAATATTAAAAATTCCACAGAAGAAACTTATTTTTGTTGCACTAAAACCATGTGACCATATGAATTTTATCAGTAATTAATATTTATATATACTCAAACTCTTATAAATGCTTCATATTTTAATAGCATTAAAAAGCAATTAGGGCTGATAATTATTGACATGAAAATAACAAACCTTAAATCTGACTCCAGGAATATCACCGACAGCGTGACCTTTTCTACCGAAACCTGCTACTAGCACTTCGTCGTTCTCCTCAATGTGGTTGAGACAACCATCACGAGGGACGAAGGCGGTCACCTTCTTGCCGTTCTTAATTAGCTGAACACGCACGCATTTCCTGATGGCGGAGTTAGGCTGCTTGGCTTCAACACCACTATATATATAAAACACCTATTAATTTTTATGGCGAACAATTAAAACATAAAAACTTAACTAATATAAACAAAGTATCCATCCATAAAAGTAAACGATGCAAGTTTAAAATGCAAAATTCACTAACGGTTTTACAATGTACTGAATAAACACCATGCTTACTCCCATACGAAGTTCAATGACCCACATGTAGTACCCGCGTACTCGTAGTACGCGTAGGTGATCGATGAGACGCGACGCAGCCACTCGCAGTATTATCCTGTGATTGTAGTAATAACAAATTCACAGGAAAAATACCGCGCGTGGACGCATCGACTAATTCCCAGAAAAACTCTTCTCTGCCGACGGCGACACACTTTCTTTTGGCACGTATGTTGTATACACGCACTGCTTAGACACTTCAACAACATTCATAGCACTATTATACACTTTTTTCATATAACAATCCTTGCAGAGAACACGATTTCATGCACGATATAAGTGAAACTGAAACGTACTTTATACTTACACTTTCTCCAGGACGATGCCCTTAGCGTGAGATGCACCACCGAAGGGGTTAGCCTTCCACCTTGTACCCATGTGGGCCTTTTTGTAATCCTTGTCCGCCCATCGCTGCTCACGACGATGGTTCACGTGCTTACGCGCTGTGCGTATTCCACGGGGTTTACCTGAAAATTTTAAGTTACCGGTAATCACTTAAGTTTATACATGACACCGAAATCGATACACTACACTGTTTACGCGATGTTATGAATGGCGAATATGTTATTGTACCTCATAACCGTCTGAACGCAACCGCGATGCAAAAAGATTTAATAGTACACCACGAGAAAAACATGTCTGCGCCATGGCCGACACCTAGGCATGCAGATATAACTCCTATTTATTTAAAGTTTACGAGAAAAATATATATGATATAACACTTTCACATCGCCATTGAAGTAATTACACTCATTGAGCACAATTGAAATAAAAATAACTTAGAAAAAGTATTAATTCGGCACAAAACTACCCCTTACCCATTTGGATAGCACGACACCAATCGGCTACGGATGGGAAAAGAAATAATATCTGGCCAACCAATGCTTCCAAATCAACAATGCTACCAACCATAGAAACAAAATATAAATGATACCAGCCTAGTTGACTATAATATTGATATATTATCTGTAGGTAATCATTATCCATTATAGTTGATACAGTTCATTTCGTTTACGTGTAGCGTTACTTTTATTACACAACTGAATAATAGCACTCAAATATGCTGTCCTTTTTGAAATTGGAAATAAATATATATAGACAAAAGTTATGACAATATAGTTGTAATAATGTCATACATGAGATAGCTCATAAATTATAAAAACACTATGCTTGTAATAATTGTATAATCTCTTTATAAAAATTTTTTAAATAATTTTCTTGGTGGATTCCAACAATGTGGTTGTCCTCAAATAATCCAATTCTATATCCGACAAAACCCGATGGACTTTTCCAACTTTACATAAAGTATAATATATATTTTTCGAGATATTAAAATCTATAAGTATTAATAAAAAAAATACAATTTAGTTATCCTCAAATTTAATATATTTTTCTTTTTATCTAAAATAGTATGCAGTTGTACTAAAGCTAGATGCCACGATCATTCTGATCCTTAGTTTATTGTACAGAACTATAGCCTGAATGGTAAAAGTAAAGAAAATTGGATTCATTTGTTCCCAAAAGACAAAAACTGAAAAATTTGTGGGCTAAAGCAATATCACGACAAAAATTGGCGAAATCACAATCTCCATTTAACATCATCATTTTAGAAAATAATTTTAAAACTCTTAAATCAGTTTCATCCAAACTTTCATACCCAATGTACCCCCTTATGGGATTGAATTTCAAGAAATGATAAAACATTAATACCAAGTTTCAAGGAATTCTGACCATAAATAATTCTTTGTTCATATAAACTTTATTAACCCATTTTACCACTTTAAGGGATGAATTTCGAAAAAAATGAAATAAATATATTTCTTCTTTTTTATCTTAAAGCTAAACACCACTTTCTATGTATTTTACATTAAGAATGACAGAGTTTCATACAATCTTTAATCCCCTATTTTACCCACTTAGAGGATGAATTTCGCAAAATTCTTTCTTATCAGTTGCCTACATCGTAAAAGAAAAACATCCTCCAAATTTCACGATTAAACGACCAGTACTTTAGGTTATGTGTTGATCTATCAGTCAATCAGGACCACCACAGGATGCACCTCTCCTTCTGAATCCTTCCTTCAGCTTGTCTAACTTCCAGGTATAATACATTGCACAGTTAAGAATACAATAAAAGCAAAAACCAAGTACAAAAGAGATATCATAATAAATTGCTTAACCTTAGACAGAATGTAAATAGATCATACGTATAGCGCACTTCTTCCAAGAAATCTGCCCATTTTTCAGTTTACTATATAGTGAGTTAGTTGAGCACGTTTTTGCCAAATGCCAATGTCACGCAAGGATTAAAACACGATGGAGTTAAGAGAAATTTGGTTTTGTTATCTGTTTCATGTTTGACTTTGACAACAGACATAATATCAAACGTCAAATTACCATGTAAAATATTCTGAATAATTTGCGATTACAATTTACAAACCGGCAAAATTAAATTAAAGTAATCTACTAATTGAAAATAAATATTCTGAAGTAGAGCTGCTTCAATTTACCGCTATGAATATCGGAAGAAAAGATGGAGGTCCCGGTTACGTCGGTATTCAATTTTGTCAAGAATGTAACAACATGCTATACCCGCGTGAAGATAAAAACAATAAAGTATTGCTATATGCATGCAGAAATTGCGATTATAAGCAACTTGCAGACTCAAATTGTGTCTATGTTAACAAAATTATGCACGAAGTAGATGAATTGACGCATATAAATCCTGATGTAGTTAGTGATCCTACTTTACCCCGTACTAAAGATCATATGTGTCCTAAATGTAATCACAGGGAAGCTGTATTTTTCCAAGGACAAACGAGAAGAGCGGAAGAAGAAATGAGACTTTACTATGTATGTACAAGTTGTAAGCATAGATGGACTGAATAACTGTTACTATTAAGCATTAAGTTTTTTTTTCTTTTATAACATTTATTCTAATGATTCCAATATAAGTAAAATTTTTGTTTAAATAAAAAACAGTATATTATATGCATTCAAAGGATTTCTTTCTGTTTTGGGTGTTGTGATGATAAGTAAAATGATATAATAAAAAAGGCTTAATTTGTAATTTGACTTTTATTTAACTAAAATATTGCCAAGCCACATATCTAAATATAACAGTTAACAATTCACAGCCATTGATTAATTAATAATAGAATTGAACATCGCTACAAACATCATAATTCTCTCTGATTTCATATGTCTAAATAACAACCACCTGTTGTACACTTATTTTTACTTACAATGACATGCTTTTTATTTAATTCATATCATTATAGGTAAGCAATTCCAATAAAGTAACACTTAAATACTACCTACTTTTTAACAGAAAATTGACTAAAGGAATTAGTGCTTTTTGAATGTGTCTTACATTCAAATATAACTATTAAAAATTTAATATTTCTCTAATGAGGAAGTAGGCTATTGTTAAGTTTTGAAATAATATTTTTGCCTTATTTATTTTTTTTATTTAAATCATTATGTATTTTCTTACATTTAAATTTTTTAAAAGTATTTATATAAATAGTACAACAAAGAGGTATAATTTAATCTAGTGTAGTTCTCAACAAAATTCTATTATTTAATAAGCAACATCTCTAAAACTATTTTTTAATTGAACTATTAAATATGCTTAAACTATTACCAATACAATAATCTATGTAAAAAGTAAAGTTCTCTCATGATTCTTAGGCCTATTCCATAAATTTATGCCGACTTGTAGTTGCTATTCGTCTAACAAAATCAGTGTATATTTAGTGGCAAAAAATACTATTGCAAAAGCGAAGTATGTTAATTTTTGACAAAAATTGATTTAAATAATATTCCAAAAGCTACATTTTTTTAAGTGTATATTTTATTTTTTATTTAAGAAATTCAATTAGTGTAACAGTGCTTTTACTATTTAATTTTAATATTGATTAATTTTATTATTAGGTATTATAAAAAACTCCTTTCATTAATTTATATATTATTTGTATAGCATTTTTACAAAATGTATTATGAGCAGGGCTCGGAAACCCATTCAGTTTTTAAACCGGATTTGGTCATTGACCCTAAAACTGAAAGGCTTTCGGTTACGTTCTTTAACCGGTTAAATCCGGGAGAACAATTTTTGATGTATCTAAGTTCCATGAGCAAAATTAACCGGTTAAAATGAGTCATTGCGTGTTTACATTTGGCGCTACTTCGCTAATAGTGAACAGGTTTCTTACTTAAGAATGAATTACCCAGATTATATCGGTATCAAAATCGAAATCCAACCTTTCTCGAAGATAAACCGTTAATCATTATTATTTCGGTTTACTAAACCGTACGTTTTCAATAACCGGTTAAAGAACGAGCTATGAATTAACCATTACATTACCGAAATAAACGGGTTTTTTAAAGCGGTTCCGAGTCCTGCTTATGAGTCAATAAATGAGAGAGAACAGTGTAATTTATAGACTCAGTGACACTAAGGCCTGATAGCGGCTATCAGCAGAGGACATTGATACTTTTTAGGGTCCCATACCCGAAGGGTGCCAACGGAACCCTATTACTAAGACTCCGCTATCCATCCGTCTATCCGTTTGTCAGAGGGATATATCTCATTAACCGTAATAGGTAGAGAGTTGAAATTTTTACAGAGTACCTATGTATTTCTAAATAAAAATAATAGGATACATTTTTACAAGAAACATTTTTTAACGTTCGTAATCGTTCCTCGAAGTTTATATCTATAATATACTACATACATATAACATAGTGTATTATATGTATGTATTCAGCCCTTTTTAATGTCCCACTGCTGGGCACGGACCTCCTTTCAATACGAGGGGATCAGGCCACAGTCCACCACGCTGGCCTAGTGCGGGTTGGCGGACTTCACATGTCTTCCGAAAACTTGTTAGGTTCTCTCAGACATGTAGGTTTCCTCACAATGTTTTCCTTCACCGTAAGGCAAATGGTAATCATGTAAGAAATGATTCGCACATGAATATCAGAGGTGCGAGACCCGGGATTTGAAACCGCTTCACTCGGTTTCCCAAGCGAGCGCGTTACCACTGGGCTGCCACTGCCTATATATAACATAGTGTAAAAGTAATATTAATAAAAAGTACATGTACAATGGTACGGAACTCTTGCGTGTGCGAATTCTACTCGCACTTGACTGACTTTTTTGACGCCAAGGAGTCGTGGTTGAAAGCTTTGTGAAATTGTCTTCATTTATGTGTCCCTTATTAATTATAATTAGTTAATGAAAGGAGTTTGTTTAACATCACGATTATCAAAAAAGCTCATTATAATATTGCTTTATAAACTTAACAAGTGTACACGATAGGTATTAGGTACCATAACAATTGAGGAAGACGGGGTTACGTGACTGGGAAGAGCGTACGATTTGATTTTCGAGTAAACAAAACTTCTAGACTTACGCTTACTATAAATTTGACTTTCATATTATAGTCTATTAGTCTATAACAGTACACCACGCTCATGAACGAATTAACCACAATTCGTCCATGACCACGCCTTTCCCTTGATGATTAATTACAAGCGGAAACTTCACGAGTAGCTTCGTTTTGACGAGACGCGGCCCAACTTTTCTCGATACGAAAATTTGATAGTGCTGGATACAATTGCGTGTTGATAAGAAAAATGTCGAAATGGTGATTTTTTTTAGTTTTATTACTAATAGATTGTTTTAAAATTTAATCTTGAGATAACTTAACATAAAAAAATGTCCTACAAAAATTGTAAAGTTTCAGCTTGTGGTGTACTGTAGACTTTATGGGTTTTAAAAGTTAATTTTAACGTTGAAAATGTTATCTATATGATATCAAAAAATTGAGAAGCTCATAGTTAGACCTAATCTAGCGTATAGTTGACGTAAGCGAGAAATTCCTAACATTTGTACGATATTAAGAGAAGAATATCGACTGACAACAACAGTGGGATCAAGTATCAAAGATTTAAATATTTTTTTGTTATACAATAGTTATTACCATTTCGTAACATGATCCTTTAAAAAAATTTGATTGTAGTGTCTACAAAGAGTAATTAACATATCTACGTACTTATTTTAAATTTTCGAAATGGCAGGATATTCGATGTTTTTTTGGAGAAATGTGCTTTTAAATAAGCTAAACATTACCGAATATAAGCTCAGGCAAAACAACCGTTAGTATTTACTATATACTAATTACGCACGCTGCTAACTCTAGGTTTTAAATCTAATACTAAATTGGTGGTTAATTTCGCTAAATCATCTTTTAAAAGTGATTTGTCTGATATTACATTTAATGTAAAAATTCAAATATTTCAACATAACCTTTAGTTCATTAGACCGACGAGCTATAAACCACTTAAATAGCAGAACTCGTAAAGTTTTAGTGCCTTTGGTAGAGTAGGGTGAAATTTTAGCACAACCTCTTACATTGTCCCTAGTCCATTTCAATAGCTTTTCAATATTAAAAATCATTCTCATTTCATTTGTTTTAATATATTCGATCTAAAACTTTAAAAAAGTACCAAATCCTAGCAAATTTAAAAACAATTCATTTCCAACCACATTTCGCCGGTTGTCTTTCAGCATAACACTTTCTCATCGTTTAACTATTTGTAGATCGCGATCTCAAGAGTTTTATCTTTTCTTAGTATACGTGGCGTCGATCTTGAGCCGCCTGCCACGTATGGAGAGCTGCCGTCAGTGCTCTGGCGGCGGCAGGTCCGGGAAGTTGTCTGGCAGCGGCGGCAGCACGTTGCTCTCGAACTGCCCCGACATGTTGCCTGGAGGAGAGTAATTGGCTACCACTATGACCTTACCTGCTCTTGACCTCGCTTTGCCCACTCCGAAGAACCGCGTCGCCACCCACACCATTTGTGTGAAATGACCTGGATAAAATGATTATGTATAATACTAGCATTACCCGCGGCTCCGCTAGCGTTCAGATGACCAAGAACCAAATTCTTAAGTTTTATATATTAGTGTACTCTTACATTGCAGTTTTGTATTTTTTCTTAGAAATGAGATATTTTCCCGCTGTAAAAAGTATCCTATATGTTGACTCGGATAAGCAGCTATAATCATACCAAATTTCATCAAAATCTCTCCAGTGGTTTTTCTGTGATGCGGTAACAGACAGACAGACAGACAAACAATTCTAAAAACTATAGATTCGGCTTCTATATCGATAATAATGTTTATTTCAATAAGATTTTCCAAAATATATTTAATGTACAGATTCGGCTTGGTTAAAATTTTAATATGTATAGATCATTATCTAATCCCTCATTAAGATGAGCCCGTACTCAGTAGTTGAAAAGGGCTGAATGACATACATAGGTACATCCACTTAATTTAAAATAAGACGTGGAGCAGCATGACAATGGCAGTACTGCATATAAAATGGGAAAGATATTAAATTATAAATATTCTTGTTATGATTATAATAATTAGATAATATTCTACCTGCATTAACATTTGCGTGAAGAACGTCCGATTCCTTAAAGAAGTTGTATTGTCGAACCGCTGCATACCAATACGATGACACCTCTTGGCCTGTAATCGATTTTAAAAGCTTATTAATTCCATTGTATATTTAAAGGATTGTCTATAATGTATATGTACTATAATTGTATGAAATGTACTTATACTTAGATAGTTATAACTCTTCTTAGTTCTAGTGTTACAGGAACTCTCAAGCGCATCACTTGGTGACTTGATATACCGACAAACACTAAAATGTAGTTTAATCTCTGTTCACCCTATATACTCGTAAATACCAACTATTTATTGGTAAAATAATCACACAAAAAGTTACGCGAAAAGACCAAAATAACATCATTGCTTAGTAAATCTTATGATCATAGCAATCATATTTTATATTAAAACTTCCCAATACAAACTTTCATCCCCATTTTCACTCCCGAGATGGTTTCCGGGATAAAAAGTATCCTATGTCGTTTCCAAAGTCTCAAACTATCGTCTTACCAAATTTCATCTAAATCGGTTCAGTAGATCCAGAGATTACCCCGTACATCACAAACTCACAAACTTTACCTCTTTATAATATTAGTATAGATATAAAAAGGGCCGGTTCAAAATGAAAGACAAGATTCTAGATCATTTTTTTTCGCTTACCAGTGACGTCAGGTTGTATGTCACTCACTGGCCGCTGGTAAAGATTCTGCCCAACATCACGATCGTTTCTATAGTGGAACTTGTTGGTGTGAGCCAAATGATTCGCCCACGCCTGGGCATAGTCGCATAACTAGAAATATATCAGTCATAAATACCTATTTCTATCGAATTTTGTGGTTTTTGTTCTTATCTTAAAACATAATACGGACTTTGCTTCTAAACTATCGACCAATAATCAATACTGACTAAGCTTAGAACTGCACAGGGTACAACCGTCACCTCGAAATCAGAGATTCTTGCCGAAGTCAAAAATTTTATGGGGATCTTTACTCCTCACAAACATTTCCACCTGAGACCCACTACGCGGATGATCCACGTGCCTGACTGGTACGCCACCGATCAGACGAGCTTCCCGAAATCGACGTGGGCGAGATTAGGATGGCTCTTGGACAACTAGGAAACAACAAAGCTCCGAGTGAAGACGGAATTACTGCGGAGCTTCTTAAAGCGGGAGGAACACCTGTTCTATCAGAGCTCGCAAAGCTCTTTAATTCTGTTCTTCACAATGGAATTACACCGGAGGCATGGAGCGGGGGTGTGGTGGTATTATTCTTTAAGAAGGGGAATAAAGCCCTTTTAAAGAATTACCGACCCATATCACTCCTGAGCCATGTGTATAAGTTGTTTTCAAGGGTTATCACGAACCGTCTCACCCAAAAATTCGATGATTTCCAACCCATCGAGCAGCCCGGTTTCGAAAAGACTTCAGTACCGTAGACCACATACACACACTAAGGCAAATAATTCAAAAGACTTTTCCAACCGAATGGAAAAAAGCGAGGGTCGTTCCAGTTTACAAGAAGTAGGATGTTGCAAATGTTGCTAATTACAGACCAATATCAATGTTGTCAATTTTTGGGAAAGTATTTGAATCTTTGGTCTGTCCCATTTTGGTAGAACACACAAAGAATCTAGTTTCAGATAGACAACATGGTTTTCAAAGTAAAAAATCTGTAATTAGCAACATGTTAAATTACATTACCAGCTTGAATAGTTCTCTTGATGAGGGGATTGAGGTCCATTCTGTGTATACGGACTTTAGTAATGCATTCGACAGGGTAAATCATAAAATTCTTCTCGCAAATTACAATATTTTTATGGCATAAGTGGGCATATCTTATCATGGTCTAGTTCTTATTTAAAGGGGAGAGTTCAGTATGTAGTGGTCAAGGGATATGAGTCACGTTGGTACAAAGCAGTATCGGGTGTACCTCAAGGTTCTCACTTGGGACCGATTTTATTTATTAACGATATCGTAGAATGTGTTATAAATAGCAACTGTCTCTTATTCGCGGACGATATGAAAATTTTTATGCCTATTAAAAGTTCTGTTGATATAGTTATGCTCCAAGAAGACCTAGATCGTGTGCAAGAATGGTGTACTCGTAACGGTATGATAATAAATGCTTCCAAATGTTGCTTTATAAAAATCACGAAAAGAAAAAAAATTAGATGCTTCGTACCACATTAACGGAGTGTGTATAAGAGAAACCCCATTTGTCAGAAACCTGGGAGTTATTATTGACAACAAGTTAAGTTTTACGAGACATTATGATCGTATGATAGAGAAAGCATTAAAATCTTTTGGTTTTTTGAGGCGAACATGTAAAGACTTGCGTTCTCCAAAGACTAGAATAGTTATCTTTAATGCCTTAGTAAGAAGCTTATTGGAATATGCAAGCGTCATTAGGAATCCTTACCAAGCATATCATTCCGAAAGAATCGAACGAATACAGCGTTCCTTTACCAAGTATCTTGTGTATAATAGCGATATAAGTAAGAGAAGCGATTATCATGGTAGGTTGAAGACTTTTAAAATTGACACTTTATTTAATAGGAGACGTATAATTGATATTTGCACATTATTTAAGATACTAAATGGAATGTTGGATTGTCCACTAATATTAGAGAACATTTATTTCAGGATTCCGCGACCTGGTTCGCGCGCAATAAACAAAGGGCCGTTCGATATGCCAGTTTCTAGAACGGTATCTTGCTCGAACTCTCCTCTTCCTCGAATGCTTAAAGCATATAATGAATTGAGTACTCTGTCTTTCGGGTGTGAGGTTGATCTATTTCATAACAATTTGCCCGAACTAAAGAATACCTTGGTCGAAAAAATCCGCGGAGAATTGTAAATCATTGTAAATTAAACGGCATTATTTTATGTAGTTAATTATCTGTCCCTACCACTATTATTTTAGCAAAGTTCTTAAGACATTTTGTGTTTACATTTTAGGAGTAAGTAATTTAAATATTTTTTAAATATATCTCAGTTTTTATTTTTTTTATATACATAAAATTAGTTAAGATAACTTAAACCTTATTTATAAATTTTAATGTTTTTTCAATTTTTTGCCCTTATTTTGTAGTCACTTTATCTTCTTTTTATATAAGCAGTGCATGTATGTAATTTGTTGGTCAGTGCTATGGACACCTGTAAGAGACTAACACACTAGAACTTGTGTATTAGGAATGAATTTAAAATGTATTTGTGTGTCATGTTGTTGGTGTTCTTAATAAATTAAAAAATAAAATAAAAAAACCGAGGAATATAATCAGCCTCTATGCCTAGCGTTTGTGGTCTACGAGAAAGCCTTCGACACCATCGAGACCTGGGCGGTTCTACAATCCATGCAGAGATGCCTTATTGACTATCGGTATATCCAAGTACTAAGGTGTTTGTACGAAGCCGCAACGATGACCATCCAAGTACAAGGTCAGAGCACAAGGCCAATCCAATTGCACCGCGGGGTAAGACAGGGGGATGTTATATCCCCGAAACTGTTTACCTGTGCATTGGAGGACGTCTTTAAGACGCTCAATTGGAACGGATGCGGCATAAATATCAATGAAAAATATATGACACACCTGCGATTCGCCGATGACATAGTCATCATGGCAGAGACTCTGCAGGATTTGGAATGCTAATATGCTAAACAGCCTAGGCGATTCTTCAAGGCGGGTGGGTCTCGGGATGAATCTCGACAAGACCAAGATTATGTCGAATTGTCATGTATCCCCGAGACCAGTGATCGTGAATGGCGCTGTTCTTGAAGTTATGCAGGAATACATACATATATCTTGGCCAAACTATACAACTCGGCCGGCACAACTTTGAGAAGGAGGCCAACAGAAGAATACGCTTGGGCTAGGCAGCTTTTGGGAAACTTCGTCATATTCCAGAGTCATATATCCCATAATCCCTTAAGACCAGGGTATTTAACCAGTGCGTCCTACCCGTAGTGACATACGGAGCCGAAACGTGGACACTCACCGTAAGGCTGGTCCACAAATTCAAGATCGCTCAGCGAGCAATGGAACGCGTGATGCTTGGAGTTTCTCTGACAGAATTCGAAATGAAGTCATTCGCCAGAGAACTAAAGTAACCGACATCGCGCGCAGAATAAGCTCGCTGAAGTGGAAGTGGGCTGGTCATGCCTCCAGACGTACGGATGGCCGATGTATTGTTTTATTTCTTATTTAAGAAACCCTTGAAACATCTCATTAATACATATTATGTATATATCTGCTCCTTTTCCCTTCTGGAATAGACAACAGTACTTAACTAGTAAGTAGTATAATATTAAATACTTTGTTCCCTTAGCACCGCCTATTTTGAGACAATGTCTCTGGGATGGCGTCTGGGGATGCCGCATTATTTAACCAGAATGAGGCAAACATCAACATGTATAGAAGTCAAAGTTTTGCAATATACGTAGGGACTGTGATAGAAGCAAAATCTAAGAATTTTTACGCTTAAGCGAATACAAATATTCCATATGATGTTAAAGGCATTTTTTTCAGGTCTATTAAGTGTAAAATATTGCACTATATTATATTCCAATAGGCTAAATAAATGCAGATTGTTAGTAAAAACCGTGAGCTTTTAGCGAGCTAAATAAAGTGGAAAGAAGGTAAACTGTTAATTAAAAACAACTATAAGAATTATTTAACTATTTCTAACCTCTGGTGCCATGTAAAGTTGAGGCGCTCCGTGTCTCTGTCGATAGACGTTATGCCAACAGAGACATTCGGTGATGAAGTCGCTGTCCTGCCAGGCTGTGCGCACCTCGCTCCATTGTACTACCATACTTACGGGCTTCATCCGAAGAACCTTTAATAGGAAGACGTAAGTCATTGATTATAATAATTTTAAAATATTATTGACTGTATTTTACTCTTATTTTTTGAGTTTTGATTAGTTTATTTATTATTTTTATAAAAAGCGCCTCTATTTGAAAAATAAAAGTAAGGTTAAGGATAAAATGGTAAATGACTCAAAGAAGTGAAAGAAATAATGCATTCAGAAAGTACGTTTAGCAGGAAAACATGAAGCGGATATTGAAAATTTGAGGTAGTAGGTACCTATCACCGCCAGACGCTTGGTATTTCAAAATGCAGTGCTTGTACCAACTTTTTTTTGATAGGATTTAGACTAAATTGTGTAAGACAAGAATTTTCCTTAATGGTAGAGCTGTTGAAAGCTGGGATACGAACTCTCCTATTCCCACCTACGTATTTGCAAATTTACGAGTAGGTACATTGTACTCGTACCTCACTGTATAGTGTATACGCAATATCCTTTTCATTAAAACTAAATTTTGATTTTCGACGTTAAAATTAAAAATATATATTTTTTTCTATTATATACATATTAATTACAAATAATAATTAATTTCGTATCGTGTCAAACATAATGGAATAAAGGGATCCTACTAATCAATCACTTGACTTGTCAATGTATACCGAGACCGTCTCTTAGACAATCTTTAACCATGATTGATCGCATAAGAAGATTAAGTCTTAGCTGTTGTACGTAGGATTTTTACAGGTTAATATCGGTATTTTCGTATAGTATAAAAAAATAATTTGCGTCACAATATATACTGTTCAATATATTACTTGTTCGTAAGAATTTAAATAAATAATGTAAAAAACAGTGATAGACACACAATAAACACTAGGAATAGAAATAAGCTTGTCACGCTTAGATTTCAACTCCAAAAGGTGAATAAATCCTTCATGGACTTGAGTATACGCGTATATAATAAGATTCCACAAAATGTCCTAGAGTGGTATGTTAATAAAATAAATGTAACTTCGATATTTAAAAGAGCAACTGTTGAGTTTCTCGCCGGTTCTCAGCAGAACTGCTTTCCGAGCCGGTGGTAGCTTCCTCAGGGACTGACTACACTGACGCTTTCATTAAATTGACAATTCAAAAGCACTTGTAATAAGTCTAATTGAATAACGTTTATTTCATTTCATTTTAATTTCCTTCCAAATAATATTTTGCTTGACCGGTGAAGCGTTCGCTATAACTTATAAGAGATACTAACATTGCTCGTAAAGCATGTAACCAAAATAACTCATCTCTATGCCTCTAGTAGTAATAATATAAGACTCATATAAACTTATATAGCCTTATTACGAAATCCGTTTTTATCTAGCTTACGCTGCCTAAAATCTACCTACCTCACCAATTTCTAATTCATTGGTCAAGAATTGTTCGTTTTTATATAATGCTAGCAGAACCCGCGGCTTCGCTCGCGCCAAAACTACAAAAAAATCTCTGAAAAAGTAGTTTCATACAAAATTTCATTCCCTATTTTTACCCTCTTATAGGATGAATTTCAAAAAATAATAAAACACGTATTTATTTAACACCTCCAGGTAATTTTCTAAGAAATTAATAAAATTTCTAAGAAATCTATTGTTAACTGTAACGCCGGCGTGTCCGCGGTTGTGGAGGGATTAATTGTATTGAAGAGCATTAATACCAAGTTGCAAGTAATTCTGATCAGAAATATTTTTATGGATTGTATTATAATGTGTTTTAGCGTGGGAATGAGATAATTTTCTGCGGTAAAAAGTAGCCTATGTCACTCTCTAGCCCTCCAACTATCTCCACACAAAAAATCACGCCAATCCGTCACTCCATTTCGACGTGAAAGAAGGACAAACAATTAAACAAACATACAAACACACTTTTACATTTATAAGATTAATATATGGAATATGGATTATAGATAAATTACATAAATTATTACGAAAAAGGTAGATTTAGAACAATTTTAAGCAATATCCATGTTTTTGTTAATTCCCAACTGATAATGTCTGTTCATCCTATCGTTTTCTATTCTCTAACCAAGTTAGAGCCGTGTTACTGGTTTAAATCAATAAAGAAACAAGTGAACCGTATAAATTGGGCTTGTGCCAAATACGCTTCGAGAGTCCTGCGTTTCATTTTTCAACTCTAGCTAGCGGTTCTAAAAATATCTTCTGCCAGCCTCCCTCCTCGGTGATTTATGTAACAGTACAAACGAATATTTTTAATCGATTATTATCTTGAGAAGGCTATACAATGTTGGCATTCAACCAAGTTTAAAACACATTGAATTGTATTAATATGAATAAAACAGATTTCACATTAGAATTATTCAAGTATGAGAAGTTATAGCTTAAAGGACATTAAAATTTTAAATTCATAACTTTACCAAATTAAAATATGGTTTTTATAGATCATAACTTTTGACTTATTACCAACTATTAAATTATTATAATAACACTATAATATACCTAATTGTTTTACATTTTCTTTACAGGGTAGGCGGACATTGGATAAATAAATAAAACATATTATGTGTTTTTCAGATTTTTGGGAATTATTGACAATAATAAAAAAAATATTTAGTCAAGATCCACCACTTTTATCGTCGGTTAATGGTAACGAAGGCTGCATGCGGTCAAAGTAAAACCAATAAATCTCTTGAATTAGTGCAAAGCCACGCGCTGCCATTTGCATTTTAAATGTCGTATTTGGGAACGTTACAATAAATTACAAGATTTTTTAGTATTTTGACTCAAGCTAATAATTTTACATAGGTTTTATACAAATGTTTTAGTTTGACACGAACAATTTGTTGTTGTTGATTTTTTTTTCAATTAATCGTTCAAAAGTAAAAGGTTGAAACGTAAGGTTAAAAGGTAAATGATTTATAGGTACAGTATTTCATAAATTCTAAAAATATTATAATATCAAAATATTAAATTGTATTTACATGTTTTTACTTAATAGGTATAGGTACAAAAATTAACAAGTTTGCGTGAGTGAGCTTCGTGCTACACTAGTCACTAACAAAAATGACATTTATGAACGACATAATACGTCTTTTTAATGAAAGAAAAAATATACTTATAAGAGAAAATAACTTATGGGCGAATGCTACGAGTTTAACATCTGTTAACGAATCAATGACGCTTGTTGAAGCTTAATTGGAATAAAAATACATATTTCAAGTTACTGTTGCATTTGATTAGTTATTTATATCTGTAGGTGCTAACAACCATACATCGTTGTGCCCATGGTTTTGTCTACTCTTTTTATATGGACTAGGTATATTCTTTAAATTTGTATACTATATCGTATACAAAAAAATACATTTGTTGAAATAAGCACTACAATATAAATTAAGATAGTGTTTGTGAGGGTTAATCTCAGAATCTTCTGTACAGAAATTCACGCGGAATTTACATATAGATAGAGGGGTTATCTAGGAGGTATGCTATAATTTATAAACATTTTGCGAAAATAGATTATTTTTATTTTTTTCCGACTCGAAAAAATCAACTCTTTTAGAGGCGCGACTGAGCGGAGTGAGGGTAAGTTTCTAGTCTGTATAAATATTATAAATGTGAAAGTTTGTAAGTATGTATGGATGTTTGTTACTCTTTCACGCCAGAACGGCTGAATCGATCTGGATGAAATTTGGCACAGAGATAGATTATAGTCTAGAATAATACGTAGGCTACTTTTTATCTCGGAAAAATTTACGGTCCCCGTGGGGTAGGTTTGTTTTTGTTTTCCTAAAGGTGAACCCGAGCGAAGCGAGGGTGAGCCGCTAGTCAATAATATATGAAAGCTCCTTCGAGCAACATTTATATAAAAGGAAGAAAAAATAGCGAAGTGTACAATCTCGAAAAATCAAAATTCCCTTGTGACTTCTCTATAATGGTATTAAAATACGGCACCTGTACTGTTCACGTTTTTAATTCCATTTAAAATATTTAATATGATTCATCAACGATTCAGATCACATTTCCGTGTTCTATAACACAGATGCCATGAGCTTTGCGTGCGGGCAGCGCACAGCGTATAAATGGAAATAATAAGTGCAAAGCCGTACCGACCGCCCGACCGACATTTGCATACAAAGTACACTTTTTTGAACGAACATACAAATTTTATGAGAGTATTATTAGTACTAGCTAAGACTTAAATATTAAATAATCTGTCTGTTACATTGATTTTAGAGGGCGTTAAAATCAATAGTATATTTATAAAGATAGTTTATTTATAAAGCTCGTCTATATAGCTACTATATAAAAAAAGATTGACAAACGGTGCGAAAAAAGGTACTGAATTGTTGACTTTGCCTATTAACTAACTTGTCTTTGCCTATTTATATATAGACTTAGCGACTTAGCCTTGCTTCGTTCGGGTCTGTCCTTGATACCTTTTAAATAGATAAAAATAGTTATTACGAGTGGTGTACCTTATGTTATTGCAGACTTTTCTGTACATTTTGATGTATCTCTTAATATTTAGCCAGTGTTAGTCATGTTTTATTGTTAGTTATGTTCAAGTGCACACAGATATACAGACAAACAGACAAAAATAACAATAACTATTGTTATGTGGTCGGTATTCTGTACACAATACGTAACAGTTATTGTTTTAAAAAATATTTCATGTACAGATTTCGCTTTGTTACATGTATAGATGAACGGAAACTATGACGCCACTGTTACGTCATTTCAACGTAATTTGGCAACAACCTTCACTGTTGATTGAAAACCCTTCATCGACGCAGCGTTGTCGTTGCATAAATTAATTAATATATGCAATATGCAGGTTGAGTAATTAATTTACTTCCTACGAATATTTATGTGCTTCCAAAACATATTGAGAGGCACATTAATATTATATCTAAGTGAACCCTATAAAATATCGGATAAGTGCGAGTCTTACTCGCACATCGAGGGTTCCGTAGCATGTAACATTAAATTTTGTTATTTATTTTATGTGCACGTCTACGATATTAATTTTAAGTT